TGAACCGGGGACCCCCAACGCTGCAAGGCAGAAATGATCAGTGGAGTTCATTTAAATGTAGGACCAGACAAATATCAGGAGCCAAATTGGCTCCTGAATTCCATATTAAATTGTCCACCTCTGTTTTTAATGAAAGCTGTAAATTTAAATGGTGTCACACAACGTTTAAAATGACATGAAGCACATATGAGATTCTAGTGATTTGGTTTAGATCTGCTTTAAGTTGGCTTTGATTGGTTAATCCTTCAAGCAGCTTTCCAATATTGGCTATACACACGATCTGCAGGTTTGATTGATGATTCAAAGACTGATTCCTCTGGAGAGCTTGTACTCGTGCTGCCAGCTGCTCTGCCCTAGCACAGGCCTTGTAGTGGTTGTGTGTAGTTGCTTTCACTTGTAGCTGTGGCATTGGCTCATTGAAGAGGATGAATGAGCAGTCTGTTGCTGTGTTTGTGTAGAGGGGGCTGTATAGTGTAGTCTTGGCAGAGATGGCTGGTTCAGCCTGTGGCAGCCTTCGGAGCATATTGGTGTGTTCTGATCAAGGCGGGTAATGCCCCGGTGTGATTGGGACTCTTCTTGCTATGTTGTACAAGTGTTAGACAAGGCTGTACAATGGTCAACATCGTAAAGAGAATAACGACCGCTTTCACACCTGCGAAAGGGACAGATCACATGAGTCTTGCGTTACACTGCCCTCATAGTTAATGGTAGGGATGCACTGATACTGGTTTTTCGGTATCATGTACAATATTTATCTTTTAGTACTTGCCGATACTGAATACAGATACCGTTACTTCCTCTAGCATGGCGCCGGCTTCCCGGGTAATCGGGAAGCCGGGTGGCGTGCCATTATCTGCCACCCGGCTTCTTGATTGGCCGGGAAAGCGGCTTCCCAGCCAATCCAGCATGGAGCCGGCTTCCCGGTCAATCAGGAAGCCGGGAAGAGTGTCATTACTTGCTGCCCGGCTTCCTGATTGGCTGGGAAGCTGGCCCCATCCTGTTTGGCCAGATGGATGCTGATTGGCTGAGGAGCCGGTTCCCAGCCAATCAGCATGGACCCAGCTACCCGGCCAATCGAGAAGCCTGGCGACGAGTCATTACCTGCCACCCGGGCTTCCTGATTGGCAGGGAAGCCGGCTCTGTGTTCCCTCGTCAGAGGAAATCTCCCTCTGCCGGTAAGTTCGGGTATCGTGGAATATACCGGTGCATCCTTAGTTAAAGGGGTCGAATGGAAAGGAGCACAATGGCAACATTTTTGTTCAGGAAATTCCATTAATTTCCAATATTAAATGTTAGAACCAAACAAAATTTTGAGCGACATTCATCAAGTCTCGATGGCATTATTGAATGTACGGATGCGATTTGTATGGATGAGATGTACGGATCGTGAACATGTACTGAAATCTAACAGTGTATGCCCAGCTTAATAGTCACCTGTCAATGCTCTTTTGTAACGATCCGTGCAAGCGCGGCTAGGTATCTGGATCGCAGCTGCGGAGCTTAGATGGGGATGGTTCAGGAAGAGGGTTCACAGTCACACTTTAGTGTAGTGAGTGCAGTCGGAACCCCTGTCACATCATACACCATCAACTCACTAAGTAGGCAGTTATCTATTATGCAGTTTATCAAATCCAATTACTTAGCATTGGGGTGTGATACGTTTTGTAGTTTCTCACTCACTAGTTCAGTTCACTAATGATGAAGGTGGGGTTAGCTCTAGAGTAGGAGTGTATGGTGATCACAGTCTCAGTATGACGAGAATACGCAGTTGGAACAAGATCACTTATAATCCCCACTCCTGAACTCTTCCATAAACACCAATTGGGAACAACAGTCCTATGCAGCAGTGAAATCAGTAACACAATGTTTTTAGAGAGTAATATGTATGTTAGCTTCGTCCCTGGTATTATCTTCCCCAGAGCACTAATGGTTACTTGCGGTTTTGGTTGGAGGATCAGATGACACACTGCCAGGTATGCAAGCTAGAAAGTCCAGGTCTCAGGAGCAGAAGGTGCCAGGTTCAGGAGTCTCAGACTGGTTCTCGGTAGCATGTGTCCCTAGAGAACTTGCTCGACGTACTACTTTGATAGAACGCCGAGCAAGTGGTGAGCCTACCGTTTTGTAGGCAGTGAGCGGTGGCTGGGGGAGGAGCCGGAGACGAGACCCGACCTGAGCGTCTCCTGGTAACGGGACGCCGCTGGGCCGGGCCTGCCACGTCATCACGCCGACTCAGCTGACGAACGGAAGGAGGAGAGGAACGCTGAGTGGAAGCCGCCCGTCGCTTGGCAACGGGACGCTGGTGACGGGGCCGGCCCCGCCGTGGTATACTGCTTCGATGCAGCTTAAGTTCCTTACAGAACCCCCTCCCCAAGGGAACCGTCCGGGGTCCCATGATCGGTCCGCCGTGGTATACTGCTTCGATGCAGCGTAAGTTCCTTACATCTTTCCAGATCCACTCTGTGCAGACACAGGGAGCCGCATAGCCATGGCTGCTTGACCGGATTAGGGCTGCAACCAACTAATCGATTAATCAATATTGGGAATAGTTGTCAACAAATCTCATTATCAATTAGTTGGCTTGGATCCCCTAGTTCTCTCCTCCGCTCTGGGAGCCGGTGTTTCATCGGCTTTGTGTCCCCTCAGATCCCTGCTGCTCCCAGCGGGGATCAGAGGAGTTAGAGACCCTTGCAGTCGGTGCCCAGCTGTGAAGAGAGCTACCCCCAAACTTCCCCAGCGCTGCTCTGCAGCTCTCCCCTCCTCGCTGGTAGCCCACTGCATGTTGAGGTTTGTGTCCCCGCTGCTCTCCCCACCTGTACCGGTAGAGGCAGAGGGGACACAAACCGGCTGTCAGCCCACGCCGCTGTAACTCTACATTCGGTGCAATAGCCAGCCTGCTATTGGCTTTTTCAAATACCAATAGCAGGCTGGCTATTGCACCTGCCTGCTGTCAATCACCAGAGTAATGGACCTGAAGGAGAACTTTCTCCTTTAGGTCCCTCCTCTGCTGGCTTATTTTAAGTCCATGTAACTAATTAAAATGTCTAGTATACATACATTTGTTTTAAAAAAAAAAAGATTAAAAAGGTGGGAAAAGGTCATTTTCAGCCTGACAAATTCTGCTGCAGGTGGTGTATTGCGGTGCCATATATTTCAAAGGCCCCCCAAACGCACTTGAACGTGTGTGACCGCAATGCTGTGCATTTCAGCAAAAATGATACATGCAGTTTTTATTCTGAAGTAAACTTTAATTGTAACACCTCATTTGTGTATTTTAAATAAAAGATGTCACATAATTGTTTTTATCCGATTAATCGAAAAATAATCGGCCAACTAATTAATATGAGAATAATCGTTAGTTGCAGCCCTAGACCTGATCCTTACATTTTATGTGCATAGAAGAAAACATTCATTTTTATGGCGAAGCTGTCTAAGACCAGCCCATGGAGTGGAGTGGGTGTAACTCAAGGGAAGGCAACTCCGCCCCTCCAGCTGTGCTTTAACTGCAAATCCAAACATGCCACTGCCCCTTGGAGTCATGCCTGTAACTGTCAGTCTTGCAATGCCTCATGGGACTTGTAGTTCCACAACAGCTGAAGGGCTGGAGTTGCCCACCTCTGGTGTAACTGAACAGATAACGATATGAAAGTATAATAATCCTACAATTAGTACCAGATACTAGTTAATGATAACAAGAAAGAGCTGGATCAGGTTGCATTCGAATGTCTGTTTATTTTGGTATTTTGGATTTAAAGTGTCATAATCTCTTTTTTGCCTGGATTAGTTTATATCTATAAAGGCATAACCTAAAACTAATTCACGTATGGGGGATCTTCGTCGAGCACATTTGATTTCATTGGAAAGATTGTTGTTTTGACACTATCAAGGGTAGTAGATTGAGATATATGCATGTAGTTTCACATGATATATAGCGATAATATTTTTTGTGACCATTTTCCAGGCCACCTACAGTTATTCAGATATATATGTGTTAAGGATATAATTGGACACAATTAATTGTATTTTTGTATAAAGATACACACTATCACACCATGATCAACTAAAGGTGATTCACTTCCCACTTTGATAAACTATTGATGGTGCACAGAATATTTGGCACACAGAACGTTGATTTATGGAAGGCACCGAATCATTGTTCAAGTTGAAGGGTTTAAACAGTAAAGAAATGGAAACACTAATGCAATTAAAATTAATAGGTAGTTAATAATAACAGTTAATTATAACATGAGTCACTCACTTTAAGGGGGGAAACTTGAAAGGTTGGCCCTGTGCAGATATGGATTGGGCTATGGATAACAGGTACAATACAGAGGTTAGAGGGGATTAATGTAATGTCTTGTTTTGTTTTAAAGGAGAACTATGAGTTGAGTGCTTTTCACTCACCTCATAGTTCTAGCCGACCTGTGACAATGAGACTGTCACAGGTCGGCTCAGTAGATCGGGAAGTGAGCGAACACATACCGGCGTTCGCTCACCTCTCGATCCTGTCACGGCTCTCTGACGTGACAGGGGAGGGGCAGGATTCCCCCCGCTCTAATACTCCAGCGCTGACTGGCGGAACAGATGGGGGAGGGGGCGGGCGCAACTGGCTCTGCCTCTAGATAGGCAGAGCCAGCTGTTAATCCCGCAGCTGGGTGGATCCAGAATTGTCGGGATCCGCTTCAGTTGCGGCGTCTCAGTGCTCGCGGTATACTGAGCTTAGGGTGACGGGAGGACGCTAGTTTGTGTCCTCCCGTTACCCTAGGGAGAACTATGGGGAAAAACACTGACCTCAGTTCGCCTTTAATGTTGATTGTTTGTCAGCTATGTAAAATGTGTGAAATTTGGATCTGAAAAATTAATAAATATTTATAGAATGCTACAATTATTTTTAAGTCCTATTCCGGTATGTTAAACTGTGTTTTGTTTTATGTCTATTTGGAGCAAAACTTTAAACCCTGCTAAGAAAAAAATAACAAACTTTTTAATTTTCATTCAAAGACAGGTCGGCTGGTATCGTGCAGGGATTCGAGGCTGCTGCTGTGACTTGAGTAGGTCTTCTCAAATGGTCTAAAGATAATCCCAGAATGATGGATGGTGTCACCAAACCAGTCAGCCATGAGCCAAGGAAGCCAGTGACACGTGCCAGCCGTGGGGAGGGCAGAGGCACGCGAGTGGTAAACAACCAAAAGCACAAACACAGAGGGAATGGCAAACTGGGTCGAGATGGTGACGTCAGCTCTCCAACCATTGTTAAGAAGGGGAAACCTACAGAATCAGCTAACGCACCTGTGGTAGACTCCAGGACCTGCAAAGAGACCTCTGTTAATTGCACTAGTGGCTCGGTAAATGCAGGACAGGGCCACCAGGACTTGTGTAATACAAGAGCTAAAAAGTCCTCTTCGCCACCAGCTGAGAACTTCAGTCAGCTGAGAACCATCGGCTCAGAGCAAAGCTGCCCACAATCCAAAGAGGCTGGAGAAGCCCTTGAAAGTCAAAATCTAATTGCCCAACATCAAACCTCCCCAGAAAGCTGCCCGGAGGAAAAGAAAGATGTAATACATTCAGATTGCCATGCAGAGCCATCTATAGATCAAGAGACATCTCCTGTGACATCATCTCCACCATGTGAGTACACAACAAAGGTTTGCTGTCAGAATTACGCTGCATCCTGGTTCAAAGGTCAAAGAATGACCCCCAACCCCTTTCATTAAAAATGAAAAACACATGTTTAAAATGGTAGGATCACCTGACACTGCTGCCTCCTAAACTACAAGGACTGCCGTTGGTGTCAGCAGTTCATTTAATAAATGAGGAGGGGATCGGCGTTCACTTCGGACGTCTTTCCTGCACAAGCGGGCTGCTTGCTGGACACAGTCAGGCTTTTATTTATCCATGTCATGCAAGTGAAGCATGGGGAGGTGTATTTATCTCTATAGAGAGGTGTTCATCAAAAAGACATTCTCTACTAAGCAAAATGCCTATGGGAATAGCTGCCATTCTCCGGTTCATGTTCCCTCTTTTCATGTTCATTGAGGGCTAACCTATTCAGCTTCACTGTGGTCCAAAACTATTATACAGCCCAGGGGATTTAGAATAACAGTTTCCATCTCAGCCTTCGCACCCAGGTACTCTGTAATGTGACAGATTGCTTTTACAAGACACCTTTTGGTTAAATGGAAAAGCCATGTATTGTTACAAGCTCACTTTTTTTTTGTATTGTCTTACGTATAGTGACTTATAGAGTAGCCATTAGATGAAGCTGTCAGTGGTCCAGCGCAATTACTCTCAGCCACACAGGGAGTGCATTGCTTTCAGACTTGTTGTGTAAGAAGAAGCAGTGAGTCCCTGTTCACACCGAGGCGTTTTGTCACACTCAAGACAAGGAATCTTGATTTCTATGCCCCTGTTCACATCTGAGCGTTTTGTTGCAAGCAGAAAAAGATTTGTCGCTGGAAAAGGTACACAAGCTACTTTTTGGCAGATTACAATGCTTTTTGGGCCCATAGACTGCAATGGGAAACTTTGTTCAACAAATGCGCGACAAACCGCTCAGGACTGAACAAGGGCCATAGAAATTAATAGGATTCCTTGTCTTTGAGCGACAGAATGCCTAGGTGTGAACGAAGCCTAAGGCTAGGTTCACACCTGCACGACACCTGGGACGCACAATCGCGTGCTAGTGCAAACAGCGACACACGACGTGCGGCTTTTTTAGCCGTGTTCACTTGCATGGGTGGTATCAGGGCGGGAAACCGCGCAATCCGCCCGGCACGACTAGGGTGCCATTAGAAAGTAATGGCACCCACAGCGCGATCGGATCACACCTTGGCGACTCCCAACCGTGCGGCAATCGTGCACAAAACCGCACGGATTGCCGCGCTGTCAGGAGTCGTCTAGGTGTGAACCATGCCTCAAGGTGAACTACTCTGCAGCAATGTAAAACAGGAACAAGGGCCTGCTTATTAATAGATAAATATGATATACGTTTTTATATACTAAATAAGGCTGCATTCACACAGGGCAATTTGGGATTCCTGCGGCGTGAACTTATGGATTTCTGCGGCAAGAATCTCAAATGTCCCGTTAAGATGCGGCCGCTGTATCTGTTCAAGTTAATGACTGGGTGACAGCGGCAGTCCGCATGTAATCTGTATGTGATATGATTACATGCGGTTTGGAATAGATGACTCGCTGGATGCATATGCAGTATCAGACGTTCAGTGACAATCATCTATTCCACCCCGCATGTAATCGTATCACATATAATTACATGAGGACTGTTGCTCACAGATGCAGCCGCTGTCACCCGGTCATTAACTTGAACGGCTACAGCAGCCACATCTAATAGGGACCTATGGGATTCCCGCTGCAGTATTCTCAAATCGTTTGGCGTAGATGAAGCCTAAAAGTTTTAAAGATAAAATATTTCTTGATGAATGTGGTGCCATCTATGTGGATAGCTGTTAGTTTGAGATCCAGCTGTAAAAGGTTCTGTCTTACATTTATTTCTCCTTTTATAATATGCGCTTCTCTTTTTTCCTTGTTCAGGTAAAGCTGCAGAGAACAGTCCCTGCGCAGAGCCTGCCCAAGCAGACACAACGCCCACAGATGAGTCCGTGTTAGCGGACCAAGAATTGGGTCTGAAACAGGCAGAAGAGAGGTTGGAGAGGGACTATATCCACCGTCTGGAGAAGGTATTGTCTTACTTGGACACCGCTGTAATGCTACTTGAATATAGCTGGTGTTACTTCGGTGTCGCTGTTGCTTTGCATTGCATTGAGAACAGCCATATATGGAAAAACACTGAGTCATTGATAAGTTGCGGACATACTGTATCGGAATGGGCTTTTTTCTAAATTGGAGGAGAGAAATGTGGTGAGGTCCATAGTAGCCCGCCAGACTGTTTTATGTTCTTAGCCCTCTTTCAATGTAAACGTTGGCCTTAAAGTGTATTTCGACTTTTGCAGCCAAATTGGGATAACGCCTATTTTAGATTCGTTTCATGTTCTCATTCACATCACATAACTGAAAAAAAAAAATGTAATTGCCGCTTACATATAACTTCTAAAAGAAACGTGTTTCTCTGTACTAAATTTCCCTTTGGGATGCAAGGGGAGGCTGGGCAGGTTGATGTTAACCTAACATGTTAGACTAGGTTCACAACTAGGAGACACCTCACCACGCGGCAATCGTGCACAATTCTGCGCAGATTGCCGCGCGGTCAGAAGTCGCCAAAGTGTGAACCGATCGCGCTGTGGGTGCCATTATTTTCTAATGGCACCCCAATCGCGCCGGGCGGATCGCGAGGTTTTCCGCCCGTGCTTCTGAACACACGTCGTGTATCTAAAACAGCCACGCGTCGTGTATCGGAAAAAGAAGGAACTTGTCCCTTTTTCTCAGCGATTGCCGCGCAGATGTCACCCCATTGAAATCGATGGGGCCACGCGGTGCAGGTGTAGTGCAGGTGTGAACCTAGCCTTAATGAGAGAGAGGAAGTTCAGTCTCTCCCTAGTCTTTCTATGGGGACAGACACAGTGTCCTGCCTTTGAGAGAGAAGCATGCAAAGGCCTGTTACACAGATACATCTGAAAGGTAATAAATGTTTTTTTTAATTATTTTTAGATGTGCTGTGTGTTTGGTAACACATCACATACATATAGTTGGGTTTGTTCTCAAATTTGACTGCAAAAGTGAAAATACACTCAATAATGTGTATCTAAACCCAGGAACAAAAATGTAATATATTGCAGCTCACCAATCCTTAGATGCAGTGGCTGCATTTCTTGTTTCAGGGTTTTTTTTTCCACCTGATGATCCTGCCAGTAGCACACTTCCTTCCTAGGGTGACAACGCTCACATCCTGTACTGTATCTTTGGAGGAACAGCGGGATGTATTAGAAACACAGAACACTTCCTGTCTCCTCATCTCCCTAACAGTTCACAGAGTTTAACTATAGGATAATGGGATGGAGTATTATCTAGAGCCTTGGTTCTCAACTGGTGGGTCGTGACCCAGAAGTGGGTCACGACCCCTTGTTCAGTGGGTCGCCGCATGCCTTCCACTTTTCTAGGTGAGAGGCTGCTCTGCCTCCCCCTAGCGCAGTACTGTCAGTTCTCTCGTCAAGCAGCCATTGAAAATATGCTGCCCGGCGCCGAGTGTCAGCTTAAGGTGGGGTGGGATGGGGCTATGGCCGCGAGTGAGCTCCATCCATATGTGCATTGCTTACAGCTCCCTCATTTGTCCTGTAGAGGTGCCTGGACAGGAGTGACGTCACATTCTGGCTCTCTCCACCTCTACAGGGCACACAAGGGAGTTGCACAAGCACTGCACATATGGATGGAGCTCCACCACAGCACAGCAGCCCACACTGGACTCCAGGCTGAGGATCGACTCCAGTTCTTGTAAGGTAGGGAGACTGGGTGGACCTTAAAAATGTTTTGTTTTAAAGTAAAACATATTTTGGAGTGTGTGTGTGTAAGAATGTGTATGTATGTCAGTGTCTTTGAGGGCCGTGCACAGTACGTTAATCACACAGTCCCGTGCGATTAAAGCACTGTACCATGCAATTGCACCATCTGTGCATTCTGCTGTGGGAGGTGTGTTGCGTTGCCCGTTGATTTGAATTGTACCCCAAACTCACCTACCACCCACAGTTCGTACACTTGCACTGGAACGCGCGGTACCCTAATGCTGTGCGTTCCATTGTAATGCGTCTTGACCAAGAACAAAGGTGGGTCCTGAGGTTACACAGGTTGAGAACCACTGATCTAGAGCATAGCTGGTGACAGCCATAGTAATGGGTCTACTTCTCATTAAACATTTTTAACTTGGCACATTGCAATTAGATTTGTAACATTGTGCCTTTCTCCTTATCCTAAAAATGCATCGGTCAGTAATTTAAAGGTAAAGTTATGTAGCATGTTGGGGCTTCTATGCCATCTCAATCACAGATAATAGCCTCTCCCGCCTGTTAACATTTGGTGAACATTTATAATTCATGGTATTGACTGAATTGCACTCCTCCTCTGTAAGGGCGAATCCCAGTTCTTTGTAAATGCCCTGCTGATGTTGGACAGTTGAGAAGTGAGCATGCCCATATAAATGGTTGAGATAAAATGTCTTTGCTGTGAGCTTATGACACATAATGATTCCATAGGTATAGGATCTCATGCATTGGGATGTCAGATAGTGTCTAATCTGAAGGTGTGAAAAGAAAGCGCTGGACCAGTATAGTTAATCTCTTGGTATTTCCCATTCAACAGTAGTTAAAGTGACACTAAACTCAGGAGTTAAATCTTAAAAATACATTCAAGTACCATAACTATTAACAATGCTGTATCTTATTTGTATATCACTCGGCTGTAGATCCTCAAATCATCTCTGAATTGGTGCTGACACTGTCCTTCCTTCTGAAGGGGGGCTCTGTGAGATTTCTACTATTGGGTTTACATATACTTTAAGGGGACAGTTTAGGACTAAGTAGCCTTTCTGGAATTCATATAGACTCCTTGTTTCTACTTAAATTCCACCTAGTTAATCCCGGTTTTTAGTTTATGTGAGTGATTTTACAGGCCATACAGCTCCAGATACACACATTAAAAAGATGTACAACCTTTTAGTGTCGGAGACGAGGTGTGAAGACAACAGCACCCACTCATTGTATTATGACATGCGTTGTGGATTGAAGCTGCCGTCCAATGCCTACTCCCCCTCCCATAAGGCTGTGCTTGTTAAAGGGAACGTATGATCTTTATAATGTATTTTGCTAATTTAAAACAGATCCAAGAATCAAATTTTTAATATGAAATGTAATGAAGAAACACCCCTGTTTAGCCCCTGTCCCAAGGATGTGCTTTTATTAAGGGACTGTTTTGTGTTTTGTTGTTTGTTAAAGAATGTTTATGGGGACGCTGTAGTGGAATTTCAGTTTCTCCTTCTTGAAACTACTTCACCCAATGCCGCACATTGCCAATATCCACTACAACGTCCCCATAAACATTCTTTAGCCAATTATGAATTTCCTTAGGTTGCAATCCTCTTTCGCCAGAAATTCAATTACACCTATATAACATGGTACATAGACATTCACAGTCACTCTAATACAATTGGCGCCCATTAGGACGTGCGGACGTCTATATTATATTAGCATCTTCTGCTTATAACCCAAGTAGTCGTGTTTCATATTCTCTGGTCATGTGATCTTCAGACTGGTGACACACATGAAGGGCAGGTGGGAGGTGCAGACCACAGACCGATCACCCGGCTGAGACAATTAACTTGAAATGAATCTTTTGTCATTGTAATTGTGCAGGATGTTTACCAGCCCCCACCCTCTCACACTTCTTTTCAGCGATCTCCAGACTTCTCCAACTGCCAGTATCTATGCAAGCTGTGCTCCGTACACATCGAGAACGTGCAGGGGGCTCACAAGCACATTAAGGAGAAACGCCACAAAAAGAACATCCTGGTAAAGTTAGCTGCGGCGCTTTTCTGTCTGTGTCTGCGAGCCGTAGATTTACAGCTTGTTTGTGTTAGTGATCTGCAGTATGTGTGTCACTGGTGTCTCTTGTACCGCACAACAGCTGTCCGACATGGAGGAAATGGTGAGTAGCCATGGATCTGGAGTATGTGTGCGCTGTTTTGGCATTCAAGGAGGACCCTGTAACTCTAAAGGTGGTCATAGACCTGAAAGAACGACGAATGTGAGATGAGAAAAAGATTCCACTCACGGTGCTAGTAATATTTCGTCCTCCGGGCGCTATTCTTATGCTGATTATTTGCGGTTGCGCGGCTTCCACTTACATCTTAGGTTATCTTTGAAAAGACTAAAAGCATTCAAAAAAGACTCAGGCCTGTCTAGTTTGTTTTTTGGTTTGTCGGCCCAGGTCATCTGCTGCAGCCTTTGGTCCCATCAAAAGCATGTAGGCTCTTTAACAAGTCCGAGTTGCTATAACCTGTATTTGGTGAAGTCCTGCTCACGTCTATGGCCATCTTTATTCCGCTGCCCAACAAACTATTTTAATTTGTGTTAAAGTCGTGTATATACTCAAAGGTGGATTATTACTTCTATGAAAGATGTTCATAAGCGGAAGAAGACTGATGAAATATTCAGCATCTCAGTCATATAAGTCATTGAGGGCGCTACAAAATGTTTCTCAGTCAAGCTTCAAATGGATTGTACCAAATGGCCAGAAAAAAACAAACCATGCAATGATAACATTTTCAGACAAGTTGTTATTGGCCCTACGTAGACATTGGGAGAATGAGCACAATTGGAATAAAATAATGAATGGTCAGCTATGGATGCTTATACTACCCTGATCTTTATCTTTATTATGTTTTGGCTTGTTTATATATTAAGGTGATATTTTATTGCAACATAGTTTGATTACTCCGGCCATATACTTAATTTTTAAAAACCACATCTAGTTTCTATATTGCATTACTATATGTTTAAGGTGACACTAAACTCCGGAGTTAAATCTTAAAAATGCATTCAAGTACCTTAACTATTACCAAAAATGTATCTTATTTGTGTATCACTCGGCTGTAGATCCTCAAATCATCTCTGAATTGGTGCGGACACTGTCCTTCCTTCTGGAGGGTCGCTACTTTTGTTCCCCATGGTCCCTGTTGTATGTTGTGTGTGTTGTAAAGCAGCCACCGCTCCAAACTCCTGTGATGGACTACAATCTTAATACAAATTATTAAACTAAACAGGAGATTATAGTCCATCATAGGAGTGAGCTTGGAGCGGTGACTACTCTACAAAATACACAACATACAACAGCGACCATGGGGAACAAAAGTAGCCATCCTCCAGAAGGAAGGACAGTGTCAGCACCAATTCAGAGATGATTTGAACATAGAAAACACTGGGGGGAGATTTATCAAAACTGGAGCACAGAGAATGTGGAGCAGCTGTGCATGGCAACCAATCAGAGTTCTCTCTTCAGTGTGTTCAGTTAAGATTTGAAAATGAAAGAGAGATGCTGATTGGTTGCCGTGGGCTACTGCTCCAGATTTTGTCTGCTCCAGTTTTGATTAATTCCCTTCAGTGTGTTTATTTTATTCCCTTGTGTTAAGCAACAACAGACAATTGTACTCTACATTTACATTTTAATGGTAGGATGGTCTGTAAATTCAGTTTCTCATTGTAGACAGGGAACTTCTTCTCATATACACACACACATACATTATATATGTGTTTGTTTGTATATAGTTTTTCACCCTCCATGTAAATAAAGCAGTATGCGAACCGAAAGTTGGAGCTTGATATTCCTCCATGATAGTTTCCTCAGAGAGGATACTATCATCAGCAGTGGACCTCTAGGCTCTCTGTATTCATGCAAGTGTATGTAAAGCCAAAACGGTAAAGCAGAAATGAAGCCAGTTTTTAGTTTTGGATAGAGTAAGGGAGTAACCCCTGTAAGTATTTTTCTTTTTTTACCATCTGTGTGCACCATTGGGGAGATTTGCCCTTCCTGTCCAATAGCCACTACAGGAAGTGAGGTTAATTCTCCAGACCCTGTAACCTCCCCCAAAGAGAAATCACTGGTGGTTAGCAGCATTATCACCAGAGCTAGTGTGCCCATTGGAAGATTTCCCATCCATTCCTGTTCTGGTGACCACTCAAAATTTGTTTTTTTCTTTCGCTTTTAGTGATGACGGTCATCCTTCTCCACTCGATCCAAAACTAGAATACATAGTTGGGACTTCAGTTGCACTTTAAGGTTAAAATAGAGTGATGAAGGGTTAGAAGCCATGTCATTTGTTTTGGCTGACTGGTTCTTCTGGGTAGATTTACCCTGTTTATATTTCCTAGTGACCATTGTCACAAGACAAAAAATGATGGAGAATTCAACATTTTGCAAGGGTCACCAGAAGAAGAAGGTAAATCTTTTAATGGGAACACTTATTCCTTGTGACAACTATCAGCGAGAAACTATTTCTGTCCCATGTGAGGTTCCCTTTAAGGGTTTTTTTGCTCCCAGTCTCTGAGGTTAAAATCTCTTTGCTTCAGCAAGCTGTGATGACAGGCGGGTTTAGGATACCCATGTGCGCCTTTTCCTAGTGAGTCCTAAGACTACTACAATGCTCAGAACTACATTGGTGTCTCTGGTGAGATGAATACAGGGCCTTAGACACCCACTGCGAGATTTCAGGCTAGCCTACATCTTAATAAAAAAAAGCTTAAGCTGGCCAAACACTGGTAGTTTTCTGCATGTTGACACAAAAAAAATCTTACCAGAACATTCCATAATGCCATCAGAGATCGTAGAATGTAGTTCATAATTTGTTTTAGAATAGTTCATTTTAGAATAGGTTTGCTTCTTCTTTTTGTTGCCTCTCCTTCATGTCCCTCAAGGATTTTGATCCTCTATTTGTACACATTTCATTTATTTCATTTGAGTCATAACTACGTTTTTTTTTTTTTTTTTTATGTTTTGCTGTTCAGGAAAAGCAGGAGGAGAATGAACTGCGAGCTCTTCCGCCTCCTTCAGCAGCCCAGATAGCTGCCTTAGGTGTCACTTTGGCAAATGCAGCGAAGGAACATGGGATATCTCAGGAGGACTTTCTGTCTAGAAAGGAAATTGTGACAGAGATGGAGAAAATTATCCAGAGTAAACTGCCTGGTAGGTTGCTTGTTGATATTATAAGGATTGTGTTAAAAATGGTGCCTTTGCAACAAGTATATTTTTGATTACTTTTTATTTGGATATAACGTGATAAGCATTATTGGTGGGAGTTTATCAAAACTGAAACAGAAGAATCTGGAGCAGTTGCCTATGGCAACCAGCTTCTCTCTTCAGTTTGTTCAGTAAAAGGGTTATTAAACGCTTGCATGTTTTTGCATATATCTACTGCTAGCAACCAGTAGATATATGCAAAACTATTTTTTTTTTAAACGCAAAGTTTCACATTGAAGTCTATGGGACCAAAAATCACTGTAATCTGCCGAAAAGTTGCTCCTGTACTCTTTCCATCGACAGGCGTTTTTCTGGTTGCGACAAAATGCTCAAATGTGAACAGGGGACGTAGAAACGAATGGGATGCCTTGTCTGGAGTGTTTTGTCGCGCTCACCTTTGATCGACAAAACGCCTAGCTGTGAACGGAGATTAATTGGGTTTCAGTGTATTACATCATTTGACCATCATCAGGAAATTGAAATGTCCGCTTCCTTTCAATAGATAACATACTGCTGTCAGTTCTGCAGATCAGTGTGATAGCTGCTGTAAATGCTGGACAGTCTGTAATTAGAAAATCTATTCTTTCTCATTTATAATAATATTATTTAATTTATATTCGGTGTTCTTCTTACACAAACCTGTTAGTCATTTGTAATATGTAAATATATCAATTAGATTCGATTTAATTATATTTACATTGAAATGAGTCTTATTTTCATGGAAATGTATTCCAGGGTGTTGGTGGTTTCCAAACATAGGGTGAAGATAGAGGAACTAAATTCTGTCTGCGGGTTCAGGATTGCTTACAAAATAAAGCTGGCATTCTAGAATATATTGACCGATCTCCACTGCAGACGAGTGTTGAAGAGGCTTATACCTTCTGTTTGGTTTCTGCAATGTAGATTTCTAGATCAATGCATGACCAATGCAGAAGTGAGAATAGTGACTCCTAGCTCAGACTAAGGCTTTGTTGGCTTCATCTTGTATAAAAGGCAGCAGTGTGTTTAGGAAGCTTTTGCAAAGATTTCAGCAAGCTTCGAGCAGGTTTGTTGAAGCTTTTGAAGCTTTTTCAGTTCCAGTTTGAAGTTGAACACAGATCTTAATGGAAGTGCTCATTGTCCCTTTTAAACAAGCTGCTATCAGACTTTCAGCAAGATTAAAGTAGTGCTGAATCGTACTGAAGCCTGCTAGCAGGTTGTTCTAAAGTGACAGCACTCGCTAATTAAAGCTGAACTCTAAGATAAGCAACTATGGTTTAACTGTAAGCGTCATGTGTATTCTTACTGGAATCTTATGGAGCTTTGTGTATTTCTTTCAAATCTGTATAGTAATCCAGTGATGAACTTTACCTGTGCAGGAGCTTCCTGTAATAAAGACCGGTCACTGATGCTCTCTCTCCTTGTGCAAGGTGACTGGTCTTGTATCTGGCTCCTTCCCATAATAAAGACCGGTCACTGATGCTCTCTCTCCTTCTGCAGGGTGACCGGTCTTGTGTCTGGCTCCTTCCTGTAATAAAGACCAGGCACTTCTGCTCCCTGTCCTTGTGCTGGGTGACTGGTCTTGTATCTGGCTCCTTCCTGTAATAAAGACCAGACACTTCTGCTCTCTCTACTTGTGCAGTGTTACTGGTCTTGTATCTGGCTACTTCCTGTAATAAAGACCAGACACTTCAGCTCCCTCTCTGTTATAGGGTCACTGGTCTTGTATCTGAAAGATTTAAGAAGGCTTGTTGCACTCCTTACCGGATGTTCGGGTAATTGGGGTGGGTACTTGAAATGACTGCGGATGGCGTCGCTTGCTGCAGATTAGAGCTGAAGCTAACGATTATTTTCAAAATCGATTAGTTAGCCGATTATTAAGTTCGATTAATCGGTTAATCGGCTAAATAATAAAATAAAATTTAAAAAATGGCTCCATTGATGGACTACTAGTTTGTATTGAGATTGCACTCCATCACAGGAGCAAGCTTGGAGCGGTGGAAGTAAAAAAGAAAAAAAATAGTGTGGCGTGCAATATAGTGAAAAGGAAAGTGTAAAATTATACAGCAATGAATGCAGAATGGCACCGACTATAGAGGACTACAAATCCCAGCAATAGTACATTATACAGCGCAATGCAGAATATCACCAGCTATAGAGGACTACAACAAATCCCAGCAATAGTACATTATAGCTGGTGGTATTCTGCATTGCACTGTATAATGTACTAATGCTGGGATTTGTTTTACTCCTCTATAGCTGGTGATATTCTGCATTGCGCTGTATAATGTACTATTGCTGGGATTTGTTGTAGTCCTCTATACAGTGCAGTGCAGAATATCACCAGCTATATACCAGGAATACAACAAATCCCAGCAATACATTATACATACAGTGTATAATGTATTGCTGGGATTTTGTATTCCTCTATAGCTGATGGTACATTGCTCTGTATAATATACAGTACAGCACAATGTACCATCAGCTATAGAAGAATACAAATCCCAGCAATACATTATAGAGCACCATGTGTGGGAAAGTGCAGGCTTACCTGAGCAGAGTCTTCCAGCAACTTGCTTTTGAGATCGGACCTGTCTATCGGCGGCTGTCATCCCCCCACACCTCCTCCTCCTTACTACATCTCCCCGCGTCCCTGTGCCGATCGTGGATGTGGGCGGGCGGTGAATGTGAGGCGGGGAGGAGGTGCGGCGTAAAGAGCGTCCATGCAGGCGGGTCTGGCAGCAGCGAGTGTGAGGTGGGGAGGAGGTGCGGCGCATAACGTGTGTGGAGCCGTGAACAGGGCCAACTGATCGGAAGCCGATTAATCGATTATTGAAAAAGTTGACAACTTTTTCAATAATCGATTATAATCGATTATGTCGATTAGTTGTTGCAGCCCTACTGCAGATCATATGAAAAGCGTCACCAGCACACCAAAAATCCTTCAAGGATCACCAATTGAACCAGGATGGATGCTTGCCACCATGGACATACTACTATATACCTGCATACCTAATGATGCTGGTTTGAAAGCCGTAGAACACTTTCTATCTCGTGATAGCACACATGAGGTACCAACATCATCGTTTTATGTGGTCTTGACTTTGTCCTGGAAAATAACTTATTTACGCTTGAAAGAAACGTTTTCAAACAGGTATGGGGTACTGCAATGGGTAGCTCGGCTGCACCATCGTTTGCTAATCTTTTTGTTGTTTTTTTGGAAGAATGTCATGTATACCATTCTGAATTATACAAAACGCATAGTCAAGTTATGGGTCAGATGTATAGATGACATATTTCTGATCTGGTCTGGTGGCACACAACTGTTCAATGACTTTGTTCACTTCCTAAATGGCTTATTCTCAGGGATAGTATTCAACCCTGTTATAGCCGACCATGATGTTTCATTTCTTGATGTATTAATTACTCTAGTTGGTGATAGATTCATGACATCAGTCTACACCAAACCAACTGATAGGAACACACTCCTACATTATGAAAGTGCTCACCCACAACATTTGCTTGACAAGCTTCCTATCTCCCAGTTTCTGTGCATCATGCGCATCTGTTCTGATCCCGCTATACGGGACCAACAAATTGCAAAGATGCATGACAGGTTCACAGAAAGAGGTTATCCAGCAGCAATCATTGATGCTTCACTAACCAAAGCTGTTGACAGATATACAGTATGCTCCACTTCGCATAATGCCCAAGAAAGAATGCCCTTTGTATAGACATTTACTGAGGCCTCAGCGAACGTTAAAAAAGTGACACTTAAAAACCTCAACATCCTGCAGGCCGACAGAAATCTGACATTTACCATTAAGAAGAAACCACTAAATGTGTACATGCGTGGGAATACATTGAGAGACACATTAGTACAGGCTGATCCTAGTGCCAAATATTGTCCTGAGCCTTATGTGTCCTCCAGCAAAACGGCTGTTACAAATGCTACCACTGGAACATGTGCAATGCCATGGTTTGTGGTGAGTCATTCACACACCCACACAAGGGCAATAGTTATCCCATCCGGGGTTTTTACACCTGCAACACAGATTATTGCGTCTGCATCTTGAAATGCCCCGGCACTATGGTTTATGTTGGCATGACAACAGGTCCTTTTAAGTGCAGATTTCAAAAACATAAGAGTGACATCTGTGTTGCGATCACTAAAGCGTAGAAAGGAGAGGACATTGATGTGAATAAACCTGTGGCACTGCATTTTGTAAATCGGCAACACCAGACCCACGAACTCAGAGGGATATGGTGATTGAGCATCCTTGAAGAATTTTTGGTGTGCTGGTGATGTTTTTCATATGGTCTTGTATCTGGCCCTTCCTGTAATAAAGGGAAGAAACACAAACAAGGGGCGTCTTTCCTGGTGCAGACAAATTTATTAAGAACAAAATCAAAGGTAAATATGAAACATACTCACAAAGATCGGCATGATTATAATATAAAGAGTAGGTGCATGGACCCAAGAGATGACATCTGATGAAGGGGGCGTGACCCCGGAAACGCGTCATCACATAGTCTCCTTTGCTGACACACAGACACGGCTGTGCAGCTATCATAGACTTTCTCTTGGGTCCATGCACCTACTCTTTATATTATAATCATGCCGATCTTTGTGAGTATGTTTCATATTTACCTTTGATTTTGTTCTTAATAAATTTGTCTGCACCAGGAAAGACGCCCCTTGTTTGTGTTTTTTCCCTAGATTTACAGTCTCCCCGGCTGATTTGGGGCAGCATCCTGCAGACTTTCTACAAACTTGCTTCCATTTTTTAACAGTTTTAGTTCTGATTATACTTTTGATCATATTGGTATATCCTGGCTGAGCAGTCCCTTCTGGCGCTTTTTTGTTCATATCTTCCTGTAATAAAGACCAAACACTTCTGCTCCCTCTCTTTGTGCTGGGTGATTGGTCTTGTATCTGACCCCTTCCTGTAATAAAGACCAAACACTTCTACTCCCTCTCTTTGTGCTGGGTGATTGGTCTTGTATCTGACCCCTTCCTGTAATAAAGACCAAACACTTCTACTCCCTCTCTTTGTGCTGGGTGATTGGTCTTGTATCTGACCCCTTCCTGTAATAAAGACCAGGCACTTCTGCTCCCTCTCTTGTGCTGGGTGACCGATCTTGCATCTGACCCCTTCCTGTAATAAAGACCCTGTCCTTGTGCTGGGTGACTGGTTTTGTATCTGGCCCCTTCCTGTAATAAAGACCAGACACTTCTGCTCCCTCTCCTTGTGCTGAGAGACTGGTCTTGTATCCGCCTCCTTCTGTAATAGGTGGAGCCTGCTGGGTCCCTCCCACAGCTCTTCTTTCTGCACGTGTTATGTACAGCACGGTGATGATGTCACTACTTCTTTTACATGGTCATTTCTGAATTTGCAAAGCTGTTTGGGGCACACAACATGGATTTATATCCTCTGTGGATATTGATATATTGTAATTAAAGTTTTTAGAGTTCAGCTTTAATGTATGTATTTTACATTCCAAAACTGGAGCTGAACGGTGCTTTAAAAGCTTCCACAAAGTCTGCTGTATACACTGCTCTTGTACAAGCTAAAGCCTGTGTGAGAAGGCCTTAAGCACTTCTTTTGTAATCTAGTGATGTACAGTGTAAGTCATAGACGCCGTGCATTGCGGCGAGCTGAAAGAAATAAGCAGTAGAGCGCGTCATTCATCCCATGTGACATCGCAGGTCCGATCAGTCCTTAGCCCAGCTCCACCACCCCAGCAATTGTAGCTTACAAAGGACTTTCCGTTGTTCCCAGGGTCTAAAGGCAGAGCGGCGGGTATTGAAAGGAAGGCAGGCATGTGCTGCTGGGGAGGGGCCTTAAAGTGATCCGTATGCCTTTTCCTGCATTAAGGGCAGGTTCCCACCATTTTCGGACTAGGTCTGGTCCGGAAAATGGTGGGAACCTGCCCACAGTTCCAGTGCATTCCAGACCAGACAAAATGAGACATGTAGTATTTTTCTGGTCTGCTCTGGTCTGGAACGGACCGCGCTAGTTTGAACAGAGGCCAAAAATAGCATAGGGATACATTAGGATGCATTTTGTGTCCGGAAACAATCTGGTCTAGTCTGGAGATGATCTGGATGTGGTGTGAATGGGCCCTGATAAAGCATAGGTTCACTTTGAAGTAGTAATAACTCATGAACATTTAACCTTTGTGTTACCTCCATGTAACCCCCTTTCTAATATAAATAAAACCTAAATGTATGTTCTGCTTTTAGAATGTTCCCTGAGAATGTATGGATCGTCACTGACCAGATTTGCATTTCAAACAAGTGACATCAATATCGACATAAAGTTTCCTCCAAAGGTATGTATAGCGGGAGACAATCTTCTGATTCATGTAAATGTTATTCTGAAGTGTACCTGTCACACGTACACAATGGAGAGATATAAACTGACAGACCAGATGTAGACTCAGACTCAGTTTTGGATCGGGTAGAAAAGGGCCGCTGCCAAGTTTTTATTTCTGTATCCCCCTTAGGGAGAACATCTGTAGATATGAGCAGCAGTATAACCACCATTTTTGTAATGATTTTAAATCTGGTATACTTGTATGTAAATCCAGGGCATTGTGTAAAATAATTGTGTCTATTTCAGATGAGTCAGCCAGATGTTTTAATCCAGGTTCTTGAGATTCTGAAGAACAGCTGTAAGTCACCATCATATACATTGTTTTGTATACTTTTCTCATATGGTTAATTGTTTACATTTTACCAACTTCTATATGTGCTACTTTTGTATTTATTACAGGTATGTATATAGCACCAACAATTTACATGGCACTTTACATAGTTGCACATTCACATCAGTCCCTGCCCTCAAGGAGCTTACAATCTAAGGTCCCGATCTCACATGCGTATTGTGTGGCAATCCCACAGTAGAACTGGGTGTTGTAGTCACCCAGGACTCTCAGCCAGAGGGGCTGAGCAGTTCCAGGAAACAAAATCTTATGCTGGGAAAGAACTAGCTTTGTAGTTCTCTCCGGGTTTTCTGGATTTGGCATGGGATCCTTTATCTGGGAGATTTGTAAGAGAATTGGGGGGGATGAACTCTCCATTGGGTACATTCCTGGGTCCATTGTTTAAGAGTGGTCAGCACCTAGTGATGGGCAGCACAGTGGCGTAGTGGTTAACGCTTCTGCCTTGCAGCCCTGGGGGTCCCCGGTTTGAAACCCAGCCAGGCCACTATCTGCAGGGTGTTTGCATGTTCTCCCTGTGCTTGCGTGGGTTTACTCCGGTACTCCGGTTTCCTCCCATACCAAAGACATGCTGGTAGGTTAATTGGCTCCTCTATAAGTTGCCCTCTATTGAGAGATAGGGACCTTAGATTGTAAGCTCCTTGAGGGCAGGGACTGATGTGAATGTGCACTATGTAAAGTGCTGCGTAAATTGTCGGCGCTATATAAATACCTGTAATAATAATAAAAAATTGCACACCTGTGCACAGCACTTATGGGAAGGGGAACATAGGTGTTCAGGAGTCAGGAAGACTCCAGAAGTCAGAGGGGAGTCAGGTGGCTGTGTGTGTTAGAGGCAAAGGGAAGACAACCAAGTAGGCTTAGAGAACCAGTTACACAAGGAGTATGTGCGACAATCCGTAGTCGGTGTCTATTGCTGAAATACAAGCCAACCTTATGTTGTTACTGAAGAATGAAAGTCCTGTGTTGATGAAAGAAATAAAAGACTGTTCTGTTTTATATTACAGTGGCTTCAAGATTGGTCTCTGAGTGCTCACCATTTGTGCTGACTTCCCCAAATATCACAATACATACAGGGCCAATTTTAGACGGGAGCCAAATAACCTTCCAGCATGTCTTTGTAGTGTAAGAGGTAACTGGAGGAAACCCACGCAAGCACAGGGAGAACATGCAAACGCCTTGCAAAAAGTGTCCTTACCGGGATATGAACCGGTGATATGAACCCTCAGTGCTGCAAGGCAAAAGTGCTAACCACTATGCTACTCTGCCACCCCATTATGTGTGAAAACACATAAACCTTTTCATGGAGGGTCCAATTTAAAGGCAATCATCTTGATTTAGCATGTGGAGGGATTATAAAAAAAAAAAAACTTTTAACGAACATATCTTGATATTCAAAACGGTCTTAAAGTCAAATATACAGTATGTCAAAAAGTTTTCAAATGCTGATTAAAGCACTTACAATGGATTCTGCTCCTTGATGTTCAAAGGTTTTAGCTTCCTAGAAAATCAGCCTGTTAGGGTGGCTCCTTTCCTTCGCAGGGTTCAATGGAGCCACCCTTGTGTGTGCTAGTAAGCTGTGTGTGACTCTACAAACATACAGATATAGCAATGCAATACACCCCCCACTCCTCCTCCCTTTCGCTTCCCTCCTCAAAGCTAGCAGATAGACAGACAGCTGCTGGAGACTTCACTGTCCCTTCTGATTTTGTACTGGACAGGAAGTTCAGGGACGCTGAGCTAAGAGTTAGAGCATAGATGTTCAGGCAACATGATGACTGTAAGTGCTTTGGCAACAATTTAACAAAATTCTTTGCTGGGCAATATACATTTATTTGATTCCAATTCATTATTGAAAAAAAGTTTGAGAGTTTAATACTACTTTAAAGCGAGCTTGTACTTTGCCTATAGAAAGTGAGAGGAACACTGCACACCAGAAACAATCCGGTGCCTGGTTTTACCTTTACCACACTTACTACCATTTTGAATTGCTGCAGTTGTCCCAATAAGCTGCTTCAGTATGAGACACATATGGTATGCCTCCCACAATTCAGTGTTTGGTGCCTGGACCTGAGCACTGTCATGAGAGGAGTCTGCCATGCAAGAATCGATGTTATCACAGTTAATACTTGCATAGGAATTTTGATGGACTCTGGTAGCAGGGAACTAGCTGAGAAGAGGCACATGGGGGTACCTGCTTTGCGGCTTGTCTGTTACTTTGTTCACTTTAAATTGGAAACCACTGAGAGATTTTTGATGGCTAATTCTCTTTCTTCTCCCAGCTCCATATGTTGATGTTGAGTCTGATTTCCATGCAAAGGTTCCTGTTGTATTTTGCAAGGATGAGAAAACGTAAGTAGCTCTTCACCAATCATTTTATCATAATGGAGATTATTTGGAGACAGTCCTATTCATACTCTTAGTTGTAAAGAAACCTATGCAGGATGCCATTGCTAACCTCTTCTTCTGAAAATGCTTGTCCTCTGGCTGTCTCTGGCTTCAGTACTTTGACACACTGACCTGGTATGGCAATTAAAGCCAGAGTGAAGTCAGAGCTCCTGATCTGCTTACTTGTTTCGGGACAGCAACTCAAAAATACTAAAGGCACTAGATCAGCCTAAGAAGGAAGGAGGTTATTGTTGTTGAGTGGGGGGAGGGAAAAGCAGTACAGGGAGCCAGTCAGGTGTGCTGCAGTACAAGGTACATGCCGTTAGGAGAATAGATCAAAGTGAGACCGATGAGGTCTGAGGTGCACTTCTCCCTTCACTGTCCAGTCACTGGGCGTGTGAGTGTGTAAGTGAGTGGGTGTGTCAAGAAGGGGGGGCCTGTATATGAATCTACAGCAGAGAAAGATCAAGTCCTATTCCCTTGCAGACAGTGCTGTACTGTGGTGCAGAGCTGAATTATGTTAAGGAGTGAATGGATAGAAATACAAATCCTTTAGCAGGTAAAATAGGTCCGTACATGTATTTCATCAACGTATTTAGCTGTCTGCCTGGAGTTCAGTTTTAATATTGCATTTGTGTCATTTGCAAATCTGCATGTGAATGTAATTTGCAGTGTATATATCATTGTTTATAATCTGTTCATCTTTTTTTTTTCTAGTGGGTTAACATGCAAAGTGAGTGCTGGAAATGACACAGCGTGCCTTACCACTGAATTACTGGCAGCCGTTGGCAGACTAGAGCCCACTCTCATTGCCTTGGTCTTGGCGTTCCGCTACTGGGCCAAGGTAAGCAAACGTTTCGATGCAAAGTTTGGTTATATCTGCCACTCTTATGATGAATTTACTGTTTTTTTCCATAAGTATTAGAACCATGGTCTATCGAGTTCAACCAAAAGACAAAAATAAATTAAAAACCTAGCATCCTCAGAGCCCCAAATCTGCAGTTGATCAAGAGGAAGGTACAAGACCCTTATAAAGCATGATCCAATGTGCTCTAACTGACAAAAAAAAATAGTTTCCTGATCCCTAAAGGTAATACCCCCTTGAATCAACAATCTACACTGTTATTTCTTATATGTAGTAGTAGTAATAATAGCCAGTCACATTTAGAAATGCATCTAGCCTTATTGTAATACAATTTAGGAGTTGGCTAGAATCGGCTCCTATGGAAGACGTTTGCAGTTTTTTTCAGAGATCTTACTGTAAAGAAGCCTTTCTGTATGCAGAGGTTAAATATATTTTCTCCATGCACAAAGCCCTCTTGACTTTTACAATTGTCACCTTTGCATCAAATTTACTGTTAAGACCATTTGTGTAAGATACCGTACAAAGTGATCATATCGCCTCGTTCCTTTATGGAGTGCTTTGTGTCCAAAGTTTGCAATTAATCGCAGGCTGCAGTGTCAGTGCATGATGACACTGTGGGGTTGATTTACTAACCTTATAAACACGCCACGAACAAGTATACACCTCTGTAGTGTGTTCCCTCCCAGCATGATCTATGGGTGGAATCTAAACACCTTTGTAGTGTGTACACACCCAGCAGGTGTGTTGTGCAAAGCCCTGCATGAATTGCAAGGTGATGTTGTGTAAATTAGCTCTACATTGTGTTGCTTGCGTTGATGAATGCAGGAATGTAAATGCATGAGCTAACCATTTTTGTCTAAACTGTGAATCAGCATTATATATGCATCATGTGCATGATTTTTCCATATATGGCATTAGTGGAAATATGCTTTTAGAGACTTTTTGGTTGATAAATACGTTTTGCTGTGTAAAAATCACACGCACCTAGTGCGTGCGTGTGTTTAGGTTAGTAAATCACCCCCTGTGACTCCAATTTTCTCTGGAAACAGTAACACACATTGATATTGTTATTTAAATGAAGCTGATTTCTTGATTTACCTGTGGTTTTTAAAATTCACAGAATATGCTGCACATCCCCTTTAAGGTCAACACAAGGCACTGAATGGTTTAGAGGTAATCCTTACTTATGCAACGTTTGTTTTCCAGCTGTGTCACATTGACTGCCAAGCAGAAGGAGGGGTCCCTTCTTACTCCTTTGCCTTAATGGTGGTATTTTTCCTCCAAAAAAGAAAGCCACCAATCCTTCCAACATATCTGGGATCCAGGGTAAGTCAGAATGGATCTTTCCTTGTTGTCTTTTACTTTGATTTAGTAAATGTGCTGTAGTAAAAGTTGAGCATCAGCCCACACAAAACTATTAATATAGTTGCAGCCTCTGCTATTCCCTTTTGGGGTTTCCCTTTCATCTCTAGCTGCCCTTTACTGCTTTAGTCAACAGTTAGCTAGCAAGACATAAGGGGCACTGCCTAGCCCTATGCAAATACCAAGTTATGAAAAGTCAGTATTTGCATAGGCTGTACAGGGGCCACATAGGTAAAGCCTGCTAAAGGTAGAATGGTGCTGAAAGGTGCCTGCAGTATATTGAGAGGCTTATCTTACTTTTTGGCATTACGTGGTGTGTTCTTTAAGCACATTCTCAGAATAGTGATTCATAATATGTTTTATTCAGAAATTCCAGTAATAATAGCAAGCGTATAGAATACGCCAATAAAAGCGTATAGAATACTTACTAATTTATAGCCCAAGGAACACTACTAAGTTCTGTTTACATCTAAACTGACTACATAATGTAAAATCAATACCATTTAAGAGACCTTTTCCTTTAAAAACCCTGTTTAAGGAGTCCCAGTGTCTTTAAGTGTCTTATTCATGTGGAGGTACAGCTTTACCTTTGCATACTACAATCATGGGGATGCAATGGTGGGGTGACCAAAGACACTGCATGGCTTCCACTAACACTGAATAATGTCTATGCAGGACAGTCCCATCATATTTATTCTAAACTTCTATTAGGATCAGTTCAGTCTGGTTGCATTTTCTGTAAATCTGTGCTGCTTAATGTGTCATTTGTGAGCAGCTGTACAATTTATTGTTTTTCTATTTTATTTAATAGATAGAAGGCTTTGAATCTAAGAGGCTGGACGATTACCATCTAAAGGGTATATATGAAGAGAAATATGTGGAATGGGAATACAGGCCAGCCAGCAATGATAACAAGAACTCTTCAGGAATGGATGGGAGGGGGAGAGCCGAGCAGAACCACAGGAGAGCAGCTGCATCAGAAGCAGAGAGCAGGAAGAACAAGGAGAAGATGGGAAAGGTGAGTCTCCTGACTCTCGGGAGAGGAATTTATGGAAGGACTCCACTAAAAATGAGGTTATCTATTGCAATTATATCTGCTGGGTTGACACGACATCTACGATAGCAACTTGACAAGTCATACGCCCAGTATTTCAGTGTCTTGCCCTCCGTCTGCTCTTCATTAAATATCTGTATATACCTCCGAAAAAGTATATCTACTTATGATATGCTGATAACTTTCAATAACAGTTGATTAAAAAAAAAGTGTGATGTTTTATTTACCTTTGTTAGATCAGTAGCCCTGCATGTTCATGTCCATGATTTCTGACTGATTTTTGTTTGGAAATGCTTCACAATACCTTTTTCTCTTGGTGAAAATGCTGATTCCTGCCCTGATCAGGTGTGTGTGAATGACAGCACTAGGTCTTCAGTGGTGCTTATTAGACTGCAAAATTGTATTTCCACACCCTGCAGAGCTGTAACAGGAAAATCGACATAAGATTAGGAAATTGAGGTTGTTGGTGCAATGCCTGACTGCAAATCTGTTTGTGTGACTTCAGTTGGGCTTTAAAGAAGGTTTTTATTTGAAGACTTACTGGTAGACACAGCATACCTTTCAAGCCTTGTCCCTCCTGGGAAGACAAGCACTGAGCAGAAGGGAATTGTTTCTCCCTTTGTGAGCTATACCCCTGTGCACAGGGAGAGATACAGTGGTGCCTCGGTTCACGAACACTTCGGTTCGTGAACAGGAAGCTTCGGGTGACGAACACAACCGCAGCCATCTGCCCTGCTCTGACACATGGTCGTGGCTTCCTCTGTCGAGATCGCGGTCTGATCACAGTTTGATTCGGTTCACGACGAAATCGGTTCACGACCAGAATCGTGGAACGAATTAAGTTCGTGAACCGAGGTACCACTGTATCTCAATTATACCTTAGTATGCTAGATGGTAAGACGATTTAGTTTTAAGTTTAGTTCTTTGGTTGGATTTTATGGACTGGGAGTGTTTCCACTGATCCAATGGTTTACCACTGTCGTTGACTTTTACCTAGTGACCAGGGTGCCCAGGGAGCGTTTAAACCTGGGGCACTCTGTTTTACAGATAACAACTTTAGGCAATGGAGTTAAGCACTGGCCTAATCCCTCACTGCAATAAGCACCCTCACTGACTAATAGTGAGCTGTGGGAGACAGGAGGGGCAGACCAGAGTTTGACTTCTGTAAATTAAGTCATAATTTGCATAATACAATGTTTCAGAGCTCCCAGATATGTAAAAATGCAAAGGGGTGCCTCTGATAGTTTCCCTTTCATATCTGCTGACAGCTTAGTAGTAAGAAAGTATAGACAGCTTTATTTTAAATCTAGCAGGAGGGGCACGTAGATGATTATGTCTGAGCAAGCAGCGCTGCATCAGATACATCTATACAGACACAGTGCTTTGTGCTGGGCTTGTTGAAGAGCAGATTTCAGAAATTGGGAAAATCCTTTTCAACTTGTATGAAAGGTTCACTTCAAAGTTTAGGGTGTGGCAAATTCTGTTCATGTCATATAGCCTTACAACACGCTGGTCTCTTGTTTTACAGTGCCGCTTGGTGTTTGGGCAGCCTCACCAGGTATCTCTTGGGCAGCTGTGGCTGGAATTGCTTAGATTTTATACGCTGGAGTTTGCAATGGAAGAATATGTGATCAGTGTGCGAGTACATGGCCTTATAAGTAGAGAAACCAAGAACTGGCCAAAACGACGAATAGCCATCGAAGGTAAGATTTGAAGGATGTAGTTATTCTATTGCTGTAGCGCAAGTATCTCTGGAATTGGGAGCAAATTGTTCCTTGCTACCTTGGTCATTTTGCTGACAAGCAGCTGATCTAGCCAGTTGGAATCAAGAGCGGAATTTAGATTATTGGACCTGTCCTCAAGCATTTACATAGGAAAATGTTGGAAGAAGTTAGCATAGTCTGAATAGACTTTTTATCTTTACTACTGAGCTTAAAGTGCACCTGTTGGCCAATTTATTACTGGGGATCCACTTTTCCCCAAGTGTGGTGGTAGGCCCTGCCTACAAAGGTAAGCCTGAACTAGAGTCAAGGGGAAATGGGGAAATGTCCATATTGCCCTTTGGGTGTTTTCATTGAGTAGTGGAACAATGGGAGGGTGGCTGGGTCTCTACTACAGGTAGCAGAGTAGTCTGCTTTGTTTATACAGCCTAAGGGCTCCCTGAGTACACAGAAGAGTTTTTTTTTTTTTTACAGAATTGGGTACCAATAACCTTGTTCTTCCTGTCACTAAATATGTTCCATTCTAAGACTTAAACAATCGAGGCTTGTTAACTTTAAACATGCCAGGAGCCAAGTCACTTGCCCATGACAGAACAATTTAGCATATTTTCTTGTATGTCACTGGCAATATTTTCTCAGGACACAATGAGGGGAACTTATCAAAACTGGAGCAGACAAAATCTGGAGCAGTTGCCCACGGCAACTTATCAGCATCTCTCTTCAGTTTGTTGAGTTAAGATTTGAAAACGAGAGGTGGATGCTGATTGGTTGCTATGCATAGCTGCTTCAGATTTCATCTGCTCCAGTTTTGATAAATTCCTCTAAATATATCTTGTACATAGGGAAGAGAGATATAAGAAACTAATAGGTGGCATAGTCCAGCAGTCTCCCCCCTATAATTTAATTATTTACATTTGGGTGACCCTGACCCTTTATTATGTTCTCTTTTTTCCAGATCCTTTTGCACTGAAGAGGAACGTTGCAAGGAGCCTTAACAGCCAGATGGTGTACGAGTACATTCTAGAGAGGTTCCGAGCAGCTTACAGATACTTTGCCTGTCCACAAAGCAAAGAGATGAACAAGTCCAGAGTGGACAATGATGAGAGCACCAGTCAGACGTTATCTCAACCTGGAGATCAAGTTGCTAACGGCAGTCTCCCAGGAGGGGAAAGGGCCATAGACCAGGATGGAGGGGCAGCAGAAAGCCGCATTTCTGAGTTAGAGACAGAGGGATGTGGTGTACTAGGTGGTCTCTCGGACAAGGTCGCTGAGGCTGTGCAAAGACTGCGTGTGGATGGCGATGAGGCAGTTCGTTCTACCTCTGCTTTAGATTCATGTGAACTAGATATACTTCCTTTTTCAGAGACAGACCAGGCATCTGCACTCTTGGGGGTGAAAGGGAGCAAAAACTGTAATGGACAAAGTTCTACATCTATTAAGGATTTACATGATACTACTGAAGTAAAGTGTGCATCAGAAGAGGTCTGTTCTCTGGATGAATCCTGCTCTGACAGCTGCCCTTCTGCTACCTCGCACTGCCACATGAAGAATGAAGGAAGCCTCAGTGAGGATGAGCTCTATTATGTTTTTGATAAGCTTATATTGACTTCTGGGAAGGTAAGCTAACAAGTGTGCTACATTTCACTAGCTGCCCACTAAGGACAGGTTTTCTGCTCCAGCTGTCAAGAGTTAAATTAAATCACTTTGCAGATATATATAATCATACCTACAGCAGCCTCCAAATCTCACAGTTTGCAGCCGTATGTCAAGCCATTCTTGCAGGCAAAGCTTCACCGCTTTATGATGGCGCAGGCGCTTGTCCGTCTCTTCCTGCAAGTGACAAGGTCTGACACTACCCAGAAGTTTCGGAACTCGATTAAACAGCTCAGAGTTTGGCTGCAACAGCATTCATTTTTATGGATGAACCACACTCCAATAGACACATGGAGGCCATCATCTCTAATGATGGAGGTTGAAGGAAGGAGTGGGGCCTCGGCATGCATTCTAATTAAGAAGTAGACCCAGGGGGAATATTTTCTATGCAAAAGCTGTTCGGCACCAGGCAGGGCTACCAGTAAATATTGCTGGCACAGGGGGAAAGTTTACTTTTAGTTCAGCCATGTGTATATTGTATATAAGGTGCAGTTGGCATAGTAAGCATGTTTGGGCTGTTGTAGACAGTTAGGGCCCATTCACAGGCCTGTTACCTGCATTGATGCACAGTAGTATAATTTACCGAAAACGTTACTCCAACGCACCTTGACATTCCACCTGCAGTGCAGCACACTGCATATGTGCTAATGTATGACTTTTGAGTAGTGTTAAAATGTGCTGCAATAGCAAAATCCTGCAGGTACATTGTGGTGCCTTTACTCCAGAGTAAGGGCCCATTCACAGCAGGCAGGCCCATTGATGTGTGTTTAATGCACGTTGTGTTAAAGTGACCCTGTCACCAGCTTAAAAAATTGCAGGAATAGGCACATGGAGATCATGTATCTTAAATGCCTGCAGCTTTTTTCCTTTAATTGACTTGCAATGCAGCCTCTGAACATGCTAGCAAATTTGACTTGAATCAGTTCCCAAGCACATCCTCCTCCCTTCTTGCACGTCAAAGTCCTCTCCTATTTTGGGAGTGTCTCATTTCTGTTGCTGACCCAGCTCCTCTGCACGTCCCCTCATCTACCTGCATAACCTTTTATGTAGCAGCCAGGGGAGAAGTGAAGGGAAATATTATGCAGTGCCACTTAAGTGGCAGCTTGGAGTCTGCTGGGGCTGTTGACCCCCATATGAGAAATGGTGGCACCCAGTAGCAGTCTCAAAGAGTTTATGGATGTCAATACAAGGCAGGTTTTTAAGGGTAAATAACATGCCTAAAATATGTTAAATGCACATACAATCTTATGAGAAAGTTGTTGAAATAAATGATCTGGCAACAGGGACTCTTTAAGGCATTTATTTCAATGGGCTGCCTTTAAGGCAAGCATCTTAAACACACTTCAATGGACATGAGTGGTATGAAAGGACCTTACACTGGTGATCTGACAGTTAAGGTAACTGTCCCTATAGCATAAACAGTCAGATTGCAGAACTGAAGCAGCTATGTGGAAAAGAGGTTTCCAGAGGACATATTGGCAAAAAAGAAGGAAAGGACGACATTTTTACAGGGTATATACACTTTCTTGGTAATTGTTTAAATGTACTCTTAATAATGCTCTAAAATTGCTACTCACATTCTATTGCAAGTGGTGACAGGTAACTTGAGCTTTGTTGTAGCCTAACCCAGGAGCAACAAAACCTGGGGATCTTGACTGCAGATTTTGACTTCACCTAGAAAGGCAACACTTGGTCCCATCTTCTTGGTCTCTCTATTGGCCCATCATTGTAATGGTCAGCCTTGCTGTTAGGCTGTGATTTGAATATTGGAGCACTCTTGGTTTAAGGTGCTTTTGAGGCTTTGTAATATAAAACTGCATGACCACTTACTGAACAAGACAAAATCATTTTTAAAGATCAGATAGAAAAATCACATCAGCCTGTGCTGTGAACAATCACATTAATATATCTGCGGCTAGCTTCAGGAGCTGGGGCTGTCAAGGCTTCAGGGGATCTCTGACACTGAGGCAGAGTTGCCAGACTGAGATAAATTAGCACTAAATCAGTGGGTCAAGATACATTTTAAGCCTGCCTGAATTTTCAGAATTCCTGAATAAGATCTTTTGTGACTCTACTACTAATTAAACCTTCCTGTATGTACAGGGAGTGTGGTCTGCACTCGTGAAGGCCTATTGAAGCCTAATCTGACTGTTGGGATGTCACCCCCAATACACTGCAGTTCCCATCATGAACTGGAGTGCCATGTAAAGTGCATGTCCAGGAAAATGTAAAACATATTTAGTACATCTCTATAATACATTAACATTTCTCCCTGGGTTTTCTCCTAAAAAATGCTGCAAGTACATTAAATGTTTTGTAGTAAGCTGAGAAGACTCTGCCGCACTGAAATCCTGAAAAGAGTTTGGCCCTGTGGTCTACAGGACTCCTCTCCCTTATATTATGGAGATTAGGAGAAGTGGGTGTTTATAATAATATAATATATTGTTACTTGGACAGATATAACATTTAAAAACTCAACTTTCAAATTCTTCCATAAGCCTAATTGTGAATGGTTATCTATGGGGGTGCGCTGATACTGGGCATTTTCACGAGTACTCATACTCCTGAAAATACCTGTGTACTAAAATCCGATACCCGTGTTTTAATTTTTTTAACTGAAGCAGCTGCCTTAACTTCCACGCTTGCTGCAGCAGCCTTCTGGGGAACCACGCGGTGCCTGTTTACAGTGCTTCTGCGGGCCAGCACATCTCTCCCTCCTGAGACCCTCCGCACCCTTCCTGAGACCCTCCGCTTGAGACATCAGGCCGGCAACCAGCACAAAGTATGTAGCAACATATTGTTCTGCATTGCTGTATAATGTATTGCTGGCTAGGGTATCAAGAAACAGCACTTTTTATTACCTTATTTCTCGCTCCCCCCAATAGTCAGAGCTGGCCTTTTTTCTCTGATGCTATGGCTTGTGGATGAGCCCTGTCCTTACTTACAATGCAGGACTGATGATCCTGCATTGTACATGATGATGTCACAGCTTCGGCCAAAGCGCCATAGAGAAGAGGCTGCGGGGGACCAGAAACAGAGGAGCCTGAAGAAAAAGAGAGATAAGATAAGTAAATATGCTTTGTACTGTTGCGCTAGGCAAATATGAGCATTTAATCCTTGCAGTGCAGGGGAAGCCCCACTGAAAGGGTATTTTCCTCATTCCCTCAGAGTTCACCTTTTATAGCAGTGATGAGGTGGCTTTAGTAAGAGGAATGAAAGACCACAAGCGTAGCTCTAGAATAACTTAAATCCAGCTGACTGATATTTCTAATGTTAGATAGTTGTTTTTTTTTTAACAATGCTGTTTTATTTTCATAGCCTCCCACCATAGTCTGCGGCATCTGCAAGCGTGATGGACACTCAAAAGATGACTGTCCTGAAGATTTCAAGAAGATTGATCTGAAGCCCCTTCCCCCTATGAACCTCAGATTCCGGGAAATACTGGACAGAGTCTGCAAGAGGTGCTATGGTAAGGAGTGGATTGTTCACAGCCTTGCTAGGCTCTAGATTCACCAGAAAAGATAGATGACCAAATATTATAGAAACATTGATTCAAGAATCCCTAAAATAGGCTGATTATTCCGGTGTTTTACTTCAACCCCTACCTTCCATGAACAATAGATTGCACAATATACTGAATGTAGGTGTTGATTTATCAAATCTCTAGGAAATGATGGGCAGAACAGTCAGTGATGTGTGATCTGCACTTGGAATAATGATTGATAAGGGGAACAATAATTTTAACTTGTGTAAGTAAAACATTTTGTTGACATGACATGCTGTCATGGCGTGCTAGTATAGACTGAACCTTTCCTTTGTATGTTCAGATAAAGAGAACTTATTTGCCTTTTTTAAAGTGGAAAAAGGTCAATTTTGTTTACATTCAATAGTAGAGGGGGGTCAGGTCATATTTTTTTTGAAAGTGGAGTTCAGCTTTAAAGGGACCCTGTCACTAATTGAAAAGCACAGAAATCAAGTATTTTAAATGCTTATTTGCATTGTTTTTCCTTTCAATTAATTATTTTTATTCACTAGCTATGTGCCTTTGAACTTGCTAGTAAATTTGACTACTCCTATAGAAGAGTCAGTTCCCTACCGCAGCCCTCTCTCTACTTGCATGTCATAACACTGTCTAATTACCCTCTGTGCTGGCTTAACTCCTCTGCCCTTTCCCTCACCTCCCTACATAACCAATTATGTAGCTGCCAGGGGAAGTGCAAAGATAAATACTATAGTGTGTGACTTGAGTGGCAGCTCCGAGTCTGCTGGGGCTGCTGACATCGCATCCAAGATGGCGGCACCCAGCAGCAGTCTTAGGGGTTTTAGATGTCTACACAATGTACATGTACATATGATCTTATGGGAAATTGTTTGTTTAAATGAATCATCTGGCATCAGGGTCTCGATAAACTTTTACAGGTTAAAGTCCTGCCAAACAGCGGACCACAAGATACCTGTTATTATCGTCATTATTCAGAAGAGTTTTATCTGATCTCTGATTTGGTTTGGTCTGACTAAGCCCTGCTAATTGCCACCCCACTGTCCACTGGCCAGTATGGGAATTATCATTGGACAATTGAATGTTGGTTGGCAGGCTTAGTGGGCAAAGTAATGCACCAGACACTGAAATTAAATCAGAGAGCGGCACAGAAGAGGATTTTTTGGCAAAAAAGTATGAGCAGGTGTCTTGTAGTATCTCCACTTAGGTAGACTTTTTACATTTAAGATGAGGTATGTTCATTTCATTTGTGGAGCAGGTAAACGGGGGTGAAATTGCAGTGGTAATTATTTTTTGGCCTTTATCATTATGCTTCTTCTAGATGAACTTTCCCCGAGTCCTGCTGAGCAGCAAAATCGGGAGCAGATCCTTATTTACCTGGAGAGGTTTATCCGCAAAGAATTCAATGGTGGGTATAAAACTCCTTTCGGAAACCAGTCCATAAGTTAGATTATAAATAGGAATAACATAGGAAAAAAAATAAGTCCTTGATGTTAAATTCCTAGATCTGCTTTTAAGGGTTAATACACTCAGTGTGGCTGAGTGAAGGGGCAAGATATCCCCATCAGAGCTCCCTTTGCCACCCAACTGTTGTTGTCATTACAAAGCTAAATGAGGACATTGTGCTGCCCCAATATAATTGGAATTAATCTAGCCCTGAAGTCTGTAGGCATGGAGTCATGGATGAACACCCTCAAAATTTCTATATAGGAGATGACAGAGACATGACTACTGCAGCGAAGTCTCACAGTTGGAGCCTCAGTTAAGAAATGAAACCTGTTCGGCTTTGGATTAGCTCTAGAGGGTTGAAACACCCACCAGCTTCTTAGATCTCTATAACACTCTGTTGGCATGATTTGCCTGCAGAATTGTACTGGCCTTTAACGTGGACCTGACCTGGCCTAAAAAGTGCCTGAGATAATAGTAGTGTTGTTCTTGTCTTGTCTTCAGATTGATCCCTGTGGAAAATCTTGAAATCTAAGCCCGTGTCCTGTACCAGCATGCCCCCTGTCATTGTACTGTCATCTGCAAAATCCTCAATGGGCAACTTAGGTTAGGGTCGATCTAGAATCCAGTAACTGGATACGGTCCAAGAGATTGATCTGAAGACTATCAAAGGTACTTGTAATCATCACAAGGTGTCTACACTTCAGTGCTGTTGATGCTTTTTTAGGGCAGGTTTTCTGGACGACTTCCTTGGAGACCATAACATACAGGGGTACAGGTACTGGTAAGAGCAAAATCACACATGGACTCATACACACGTACACAACAGCTCAAACATAAATGCATACACACAATAGGTTGGACTTGATGGACTGTGTCTTTATTCAACCTCAAATACTATGTAACTATGTAAGTTCACTTTAAGCCGGCATTCACTCCTTTGCGTCAGCATTTCAGTGTGTTGTTGCACACGATTTTGGCTAGCGATTTTTGCACATCCGATGAGCAAACATGAAGATGCGCTTCTTAGCTGGCAGATTGAAAGGCATTGCGGTCAATGTAAAAACACGCAAAAAACACTCTCTGAAATGTGCAAAATGCTTGTGACGTGCATTTCCAGGCATTTCCATTGAAATCATTGGGGCCAAACGTGCTGAAAACTGCCCCAAAGAAGCTCAGAAACTTTTTCAGCTTTTGATAAAATGCTCAGGCATGAACGGGGGCCATTTGAAATGAATGGGAATTCATGTGCTGAGCGTTTTGTCGTGTGTGTCTGTGCGCCTAGGTGTGAATGGGGGCTTAGAAGATGAACTTTGAAAATAATGAGGGTAAATTATGGTGCCACAATTTTAGGCATTCTACTTTGTCAATAACCTGACATAAATGATCTTATCTTGTTATTATATAGCATACTTTTATAGAGATTAGTATGAGCTCTTTTTTTTTTTTTTAAACAGACCTAAACTCTAATATAGTTAATACTTATTTACATTTCCTACTGCTGTCTAACAAGAATTGATAAAATGAACAGTGAATTTCCAACCTTCCTGTAATGCTGCCTCCCTCTGGGTATTGGTGCAGTTGCCGTGTTGGGTAGAATTTGTGTGAAGGCAAAGCCACTGATTGTCCAAGTACTTGCTCTGCTAGCACCTCTGTCCATCTATATAAGTATTGCATTGGTGGTTTTATCATGTCAGGTTAGCCAGCAACTAATAATGTAAATGAAGTAAAGCCTACAAGGTGAGGTCTGCTTTCTCTGGAAAATCTTTGTACTAATTTGGATAAACTGACTTGTCAATTGAATGTTCCCAATAGGTAATGCACGGCTGTGCTTGTTTGGCTCCTCTAAGAACGGATTTGGTTTTCGTGACAGTGACCTTGACATCTGTATGACCCTTGAAGGCCATGAGAATGCCGAGGTAAGAGAATTTACATGTATCCCGCATAGAAATATTTATAATAAATACAGTTTAATCTACATGAGATTTGATCTGGTGACATTAAGCACTCATTCACACGAGAAAAGGCCGGCACGTACAGCTCCGTGCTGCGTGCAGGGCCGTATCAGGCAGCTCCCGTGTAAGGACAGGTGCTGCGTGTGATTAGTACAGAGCCCCTGTCCTTCTCTATGGGAGTACGTGGCCGTACGCCGCCCTACGCTCACCCGCCCTGCATGTCCATACTTTATTTAAAAACAGTAAAACACTCATATGCTTGGAACGATAAGACTAATTTGGAGCCCTACCTTCGGAACAATCAAATAAACCTTTCCTCCTCCTTCACAGTGTTATGTTTATTACTACATTTCTGGTGCTATTTAAGTTCTTATTTGCGTTAGTCTACTTCTTTGCCTATGAAATTATAGAATTGTCTTTTGTGATATTGCAGATTTTTCCTCTGGCCAACGATTTGTTGATTATAGTATATAAAAAAAAAATGTTTATTGTTTTTCTTTTAGAAACTAAACTGCAAAGAAATAATTGAAGGCTTGGCAAAAGTCCTTAAACGACACCCAGGTAATGTATGAGAAAAGAGTGTTTTTATCACTGTTTCTTATTCTTTTAGAATATTAATAGCCTCTTATTTATCCTTGATCAGGCTTAAAGAACATTTTGCCAATAACAACAGCCAAGGTCCCCATTGTGAAGTTTGAGCACCGAGAAAGCTGTGTAGAGGGAGACATCAGCCTGTACAACACGCTGGTGAGTGTGAGAAAGCCTCATGTGTCTCGGATCCTTAACGCATGTTGTGGGAAATGTATTATAGAGTCACTCTTTGGCCATACATAGAGGAAGACATGTTCTGGAATGGACCAAAGAATGAACCCCACATAATACCTAGTGACATGACTGAGGTATTGTGTGTTTGTGCCAATATGATGAAAATAAACCATAGTGCATTAATATGCTCTGTATTAGTTGTATAGTTGCCACTATGGGGGGAATTTATCAAAACTGGAACAGAAGAATCTGGAGCAGTTGCCCATGGCAACCAATCAGCATCTCTCTTAAAGGAGAACTATGAGGGGAGTGCTTTTCACTCACCTCATAGTTCTATCCGACCTGTGACAATGAAACTGTCACAGGTCGGCTCAGTAGGTCGAGAAGTGAGCAAACACATACCGGCGTTCACTCACCTCTCGATCCTGTCACGGCTCTCTGCCGTGACAGGGGAGGGGCTGGATACCCCGCTCCCATCCGCCAGCGCTGACTGGTGGAACGGACGGGGGAGGGAGCGAGTACAGCTGTCTCTGCCTCTAAATAGGTAGAGCCAGCTGTCAGTCACGCAGCTGGGCGGATCCCGGCATAATTGTCGGGATCCGCTTCAGCTGCGGCGTCTCAGTATACAGCGAGCAGCAGCTCGCGGTATACTGAGCCTAGGGTGACGGGAGGACGCTAGTTTGTGTCCTCCAGTTACCCTAAGGAGAACTATGGGGAAAAGCCTTAACCCCACAGTTATCCTTTAACTCACTATCCAAAGCATGCATGTCGAGTTATAACTTCACAACTGTATGCTTTCTCCCAGTTTCTAGGATGCTTAATTGTGCAATGAGGATGAAGATGACAGCTCTAGAGCTTGAGCCTAATCTTTTCATACTCTGATCCAAATAAAATGGCTTTGCATTCACTTAAATAGATGTGAAGGAAACATGAAGGCTGCCAAGTGTTAGTTACCCATCTGTCATTTTAACTGCCATAGCTTGAGTTGCCAACTTGGAAAAAATATATTGATCTGGACTTCTGACTTTTTTTCTCATTTTTCCTGATCTTCATACTTGTTCCAGTCAGTGGCTCATAAAATCGGCAGGTCAGCTTAATAACCAGGCAACTAATATTTTCAGAAGCAGGTCAACAATTGCAGCCCCTATTAAATCTCTTGTGACAGGTTAGTTTGAAAAAGAAGCTGCTGTTTTTATACTCAAATCTGTTCTGTTTAGGCTCAGCACAACACCAGAATGCTGGCGACGTACGCAGCCATCGACCCTCGGGTAAAATATCTGGGATATGCTGTCAAGTTCTTTGCCAAGGTAATTCATGTGTTTTATCAACAGAATGGAGAGTGAAGCAATGAAAGTGGATCTTTACTCCCTTTGACTAAAAATCACATCAGCACACATGCTGATAAGAAATCATCTTACATTTATTAGTTAAACAAACATATTTTTATTTCACATACAATTTCTTTTTTTCCACTTCCTGGTCCACTTTGGCACAAATGATGTAATCGTGTCCAAGCATTGCATCCTGGGATGGTTACATCACAGTGCATTGCTGGGAAATCACATCTGTAATCTCATGAGATCTCAGGGAAAGGCTTTTGTTTTTTAAAAGAGAACTATGGGGTAACCTTTTTATCCCATAGTTCTCTTAACTGTCATGGGAGGACATATTCTAACGTCTTCCAGTGCCCCAAAGCTCAGTATATAGCGAGCTTTTGCTCACTATATACCGAAATCGTCACAGCCAGGACGGATCCCGACAATACTGGCGAGATCCACCCATCTGGCTGAGTGACAGCTGGCTCTGCCTATCTAGAGGCTGTGCCCTCCCCCTTCCGTTTCTCCACTCAGCGCTGGAGGATCGGAGCAGTGAATCCCTGCGGGGAGCGGTGACTGACAGTGGCTTCCTGTCATAAGTCATCTGTAATAATAGACGTGCATAGATGTAGCCTTACCTGAAAAAACGCATAAAGGAAAGCTATTAGAAACACTCCCCTTCTCTTTGACCCCTGGGTCCCATTGAACCCATATATGTGAGATATGTGACAGGCTCACCTTGTTTTCAGCAACTACGAACAGTACTGTGACACTGAACTCTTTCACAGCCGATCCAGCTTAGATCAGCTACATACAAAAGAAGTGGAGTGCACATTTTTTCACTATTAGGGCCCATTTACACCGGATCCGTTGTGTTGCGATACATTTTTTTCAACAGATGCTAACAGACGTGCAGCAAAAAATGAATGGGTGTGAATTCCATTGCTTTGTGATTTCCTTCTGATTTTGGTATGAGTGGATCCTTATAGGAAGGGAGCACAACATTTTGATTTAATAAAGATGTTCTTTTTATTAATCTCTGATTTATAAAAATTTTTATAGCGCTGTGATATTGGTGATGCATCAAGAGGAAGTCTGTCTTCCTACGCCTACATCCTGATGGTTCTGTATTTCTTACAACAGAGAAACCCTCCCGTCATACCAGTGCTACAAGAGGTAAGGCTACAAAGAAATGCCTCTGACTAGAGCAATGTTAGAATTGTATGAGGAGCAAATAGATTAAAGGGAAGTAAAACCAAACCTTTTTTTGGCTTTAGTCATCTGTTGGGTCAAAGGAGTACTTTTACTAATGTAGGATTGCCTGTGCAATCCTGTTTATGTACTGTATATACAAACGTTAGGGTTTTCTTGTTAATTGTATATAAAAGGTTTTAAAGTTAACCTGCAATAAGTTATTCCAGACCAAACCAGAACTGTAGCTTGCTAGCAGGCATGTTCAGATTCCTTCACCATTTTGGAGATCTCCAAAATGGTGAAGTGATGTGTGAGCCTGCAGGAAGTGCAGATATTCACATGCTGAGGAGTAGTAATGCTGAGGAGTTTGAAGATATGGACTGGTACAAGATAAGTATAAATCCTCTTCTTGTTTTACAGAGTGGGCTTTCTTTACAAGTGAACCTGTCACATAAATAATACCTGCACAGCAACCTGTGATGTGCAGCTGCAGCCCTAACACAGTTCCTTTGCAAATACCAACTTTATGAATAGTTAGGCATCCCTTGACTACCGTGTTACTGTGCTCAGGCTTGATGATAGGTTGCTGAAGAGATGAGCCCTGCATTGTTGGGATGTGGCTTGATGTATGTTTGCCCCCCTACCAGGAATTGTGTTTTTTTGTGTGTAATTTTTGCTAACTATATTAAGCACAAGGTTCTTACAGGGTTACATTACATAGAAGGGTTGCTAGGGTAAACTGTTTGCTGTGTAATTGGTTCACATCCATGCCCAAAGTCTCTACATTTGTCCATCAAAGGTCCCTGTCCATAGTTTCCATCACCTTACAACTCAGTTTGCATGTAATAAATGAGAGACTTTTTGATGACTCTAAAGTATCCATGTACACAAACTAAGCTGGAGGACAGTGGGATCTGTGTTAGATTAAAATGTTTTTAAAAGTTGTAAAAGGCACGCCGATCCCAAAGGATGAGGTTAGGGGCAATACACAATATTCTATGGGTCAGCAATCCCCTAATTTCATCGGTCAGGATAAATACATTATTGGCTATATCACCTGCAGTCTTCATGAGATCTTGCATTGAACAGTTTTGTTTCTATGATATGTAGATTTATGATGGCCACATTATTCCGCGGAGGATGGTGGATGGCTGGAATGCTTTCTTCTTTGATAACATGGAAGAATTGGTAAATACTACATTACATTCTATGACTGATTGATTTAATTATTAATTGTGATCCAAATTGTCTTGTTACTTTTAGAGCAATATAGCTGCTCAGATAGCAGGCAGATCTAGGCTTTCCAGGTGCAGATTTAGCTCCAGAGCTCTAGTAACCCGCCAACAGTATTTTATTGTAATATAATGGATAAGTATCGGTGTTGTGCAACAACCTGTAGAAGCTAACCAGATTCAGCTTATTATTTATTTTTATAGCTCTAAGCTGAAGAAAGCCGTTTCCTTTTTGGACATCATTAGCTACAAAACAGTTTTTTGTAATGATTTATCAAATAGGCCTATATGTATGTACTTCATGACTGCATTGAGGGTTAAGTACTTTTGATTCAAGGTTAACCAATTTCATAGTAGAACCCCAGGCCAGACATTTACTTTTGGGTAGAGTAGGGAAGGTTGAGAAACGTTTTCATGTTAATAGTGCTGCTTCCCCATTTGGAAAATATCCTTTCACTTGTCTCTAAGGGACGGTGTAGACCTGGGCAATCTTGGACGTGCTTCCTGGGACTATGCCAATGGGGTTACAACCGCACGGCAATCGCAGAAAAAAGGTACACGTACCTTATTTTGCGATACACGACGCGTAGCTGTTTTAGCCGTATCGTGTTTGGTTGCACGGGTGGAATCGTGGCTGGAAATGGCTGTGCTGACATACAGTGCACAGAAATGCTCCATCAGATAACACGTGCTGTGAAATGCCATAGAGCCATCATCATCAAGCAGTGGCTGCTTAGAGGCTGCAGGAGATCAGCAGCACTAAGATGCAGCAAAGGACAAAAAAGGTGAAAACTGTTTTTTAATAATGTATTTTAAATGCCACCATCTGGAGCATAAACATCAGCATATTTTGGGGGTAGCTTTAGACCATTAGGTTTCTCTTGCTGTGTACCCATTTGGGGGATTGATCCTTGCAGTGGTTGTAAAATAGCAAGAAGTGTAAGGAAATCTCTCCTCTGACAGAGGTTCTCATTCTTCCTTTAACTATCCAAAGCTTAAAATAATAGTTTTGTTTGGAATTGTACTTTTATACTGCAATGTGTTGCTTTACAGAGAGGCCGGTTTCCATCTCTGGGAAAGAATGTTGAATCCATGGGGGAGCTTTGGCTTGGATTTCTTAGGTTCTACACAGAGGAATTTGATTTTAAAGAATACGTCATCAGTATCAGACAGAAAAAATTACTAACCACATTTGAGAAGCAGTGGACGTCTAAATGCATTGCTATAGAAGGTGTGTATAACCTGGTTTACCTTTATCCATCACTGACAATTATGTACTCTTGTATGGAACTGATCGTAGCATTAGCTGAACACCCGAATAACTTCTGTACCTTTCTCTGACTCCTTCAGATCCGTTTGACCTCAATCATAATCTTGGAGCTGGAGTCTCTAGAAAAAGTATGTACATTCTCACCTATGTGAATTTCTGCTGTGGTTTTCTGCTCTCGTTCGATCCATCTTGCTTGGCATTTAGGAGCCAATCCACAGAAGCAATATGCATGCAACATTTTGCTCCCTTTTATGATTACACATATTTTTCTCTTTCATCCATTGAGGGACACTGGAATTATGTATTTATTTCAGGTATTTATATAGCGCTGACAATTTACGCAGCGCTTTACATAGTTGCACATTCACATCAGTCCCTGCCCTCAAGGAGCTTACAATCTAAGGTCCCTCTTTCACATGCATACATACAGTATAAGACATGAGCCAATCAACCTTCCAGCATGTCTTTGAAGTGTGGGCGGTAACCTGAGTACCCGGAAACTCAGGCAAGCACAGGGAGAACATGCAAACTCCTTGCTGATAGTGTCCTGGGGTTTGAACCGGGGACCCTCAGTGCTGCAAGGCAGAAGTGCTAACCACTGTTCCGCTGTGCTGCCCACTATGCCACTCTCGCGCATTTGGGTTATACCGTCACCTGCAGAAAGATTGGACGTTGGCAAACACAAAACCTGTATGCCCGCCCAGGATAATTCATTTCACTACCAGCGAGGAGGGCAAATGGCTGACTCAGCTAGCTCCGCATCCACATCAGCTATCAAAGTGAGGCATAGTATTACAAGGGAGGGATTAAACTCTATGGGGTGGCGTAAAGTGTTTTTGTTTGCCAGTGTCCAATCCTTCTGTGTCTCTCAGTAGACTACAAGAAAAGGATATTAAGGTATATAGAAAAATACTGTTGTTTTTCAATTCACTTAAAGACCGTTGTTTAGTGTGAGGGAGAAAAGATTCTGCACTTGTGGAATTAACATTTTTATGAATAAATTATCATGCGATAAAATGAGTGCTGTCAAAATAACACCTCGGGCTTAATAAATTGGCCCCATAGTGCGCATACACAGTTCACCTGGTGTTCGGGTTTTATGTCCTGTGCTTGATAAATACTCATTGCTTGCTCATAATCAAAAACTAAATCTAACATTGATAAAAATCCTCCATTATAAATGGTAGGTGGATCTGGGAAAACTTACCTATGCATGAGAATATGGGACTTCAGGCTCCCTCTAGCAACCAGTCATGCCACATTCTTACTGAGGGGGCATGGCATTGATTTCCAGTCCTCGGCTCAGTTTTGCATAAGCTCAGCCCTGACTGGCTATTGTTCATTGATCTGTAGTAAAACATTATAGCAGTCCTGTTTGAAATGACTTTGTACATGAGTTATACATGTTAAGCATCTTTTTTTTTAATTCCCTTTCTTTTTCTTAGTGACTAATTTTATAATGAAGGCATTTATAAATGGAAGGAAGCTCTTTGGGACCCCATTCTACCCACTACCTGGGCTTGAAGCAGTAAGCTTTCATTTTATTTCATTATAATACTTTTACGTCTGAAATATTTAAATTGTGTATATTCTGCACGTCAGGTAACCGCAAAAGAGTGATTAATTGCCTTAAGTCATTGTGGATGGTTGTAGCTGAACTCTGTGGAGAATACAATTCAAGTTATTTACTTAGATTGCAGCATTCCTGTCCCAAATATCTTCATTTCATCTCCTGGTGCTAATGTGCACATATAAAAAAGGTGATCTCTCTCATGCAGTGTTCCCATTCATCACTGTTGGAGACTGGACAACCTGTAAACAGGGTGACTAGTTCCCTCACCACTCCCTTTGCAGGTCTAGGTGGGAATATTAATGTCATCACATCAGTGCTGCTGGCAAAAGGTGGAGATCAGAAGTGGGAGCTGGGGCACTGTAAACAGGCTCACCCCACTCTGCAAAACCCCCACCTACTTATTACCACTTAGAAAATATCGCCCTACCCAACTTTCTGTCTGTGGACCCTCCTCTTGGCTCCAGCTTGAAGGATCATTTAAGTTCTGATGACATCAGCAGCAGACTAACAACACAATGCTGGGACAAGGACACTACAGCCTTCATAATTTAGAGGAAAAAAAACAGCATCTGCTCCTCTACAGCTTTATATATCCTCTAATGTTTCATGTTCTTTTTAAGGCAGATGTGGGTAACTCTGACTATCCAAATATTGTAGATTTATACTTAAATTTTGTAAAAAAATTTCAACTTAATGTTTGTTGTTGTCCGCAGGAATATTTCTTTGATTCTAAAGTCCTGACAGATGGGGAGCTGGCTCCTAATGACAGATGCTGTAGAGTGTGTGGGAAGATTGGTCATTACATGAAGGATTGTCCTAAGCGAAGGAGGTAAGAGGCAACAATGTCTGCGCCTTTATGGTATGATAAAATATTCCGGCAAAGTGTAAAGTAACAGTCATGATGCTTTTTTCATTTCCTAGTGAGTTAGTGTGAGATACATCATTATAGCTTGACCCTAACAGTGAACCAATCCCCTAACCTCAGCCAGAAAACTAAAACTATACGCCCAACACCTGAACCTAATATTTAAAGTAGATATAAACCCAATCTCTTAAATCACATGTAAGGTTTAACATGTTTGTGTCATCTCACAAGTTGGTTTAAAAATCTACTGCTTTCCCCAGACACACTCCGAAGGAGGTTGCCACAATTGGGGGTCATAATAATGGCCATAGTTTTGGAATGAGATGTCCTATAAGCTCATGTAGATGGTCAGGTGTCTATAAACCTTTGCCCGCATAGTATATTTTTTGAATGTTGTCATTTTCTTTGTTTATACTAAAAAAAATTATGATAATGGGGTTTAGTAATAAAATTAAACAAACAAAAGTATATGTATATGCCATAGGGACCAATCAGAATCCATTCTGGGTAACAACCCTGTTTTCCTCGTTTTTAGTTTGTAAAAATAAGCCATATTTACATCTAGGGAGCCCTGTAAAATCCTTTTTTTATTCCATTGTAAGTTTTAGTATTCTGTCCTTTTAGGATCAAAAAGAAGGAGAATGAGAAGGATGATGACAAAGACATTAAGGAGGAGGAGAGGGAACTGAGAGAGAAGAGGTGCTTCACCTGTGGCGATGTTGGACATGTGCGGAGAGATTGTCCTGAAAACAACAATGCCAGACAGAAGAACAATATTCTAGGTAAGGTGTATGTTCTAACAAACTTATATTCATGGAATACTGATTTCATTCACTAACTCATTCACTATCTCCTTCTACAACCTCGTTCCACTCTACACGAACACTGAGGGTCTTCTATAACACTCGGTGCCTTTGGACCAGCAGGCAACACCAGCACTCCTTTTTATTGCAACACGAATACATTAACCATAGTCACAAGGGCTGCTAGGCAAGCACGAAGATCATGAATTGAAGTCCACTGTTTTTCTTCCTGTATTTCTTTATTCCTTTGTATTTGATTGCTGTGAATTGAGGAACTGTTAAATTCTTGTGATATCTGACAATGTACTCATTACTATATTAGACATGTAATGTTTGTATGATGTTAAAGCCAAGCAAACCACTAAATTCATATTTTGGAGCGGTTTTACCTGTGCTGGTGAAGAACCCTATTTTTTCCTATTAGATGATATGGACACAGAGTGGGGACGTGCTACAGGGGTGATTGGAGACTGGAGACATGTTGCGGGAGACAGTCAAAGAGTTTGCACAGAGTACACGAGACTGCTAGAGAATAGACATTATACAATAGACATTAGTGGCAAGAGTTTCCTATAGCAGTTTGTGTCTCTCAGTCCTCAACAATGCCATAGTAGTGTCACCTATTCAAAGATAAACTCCCCAGTTAACCCCTCTGCATTATAGAGTGCATCGGGGAAGGAGGAGAACATGAGTGGAAACTTTTCACTGATCACTGATATCTTATTGGGATATGTAAAGCCAGCATGCGATTCAACATTCCAGCATTTCTGCACAACCTAAAGACATTTGGGTACAGTTGCCTTTTAAGATCGTGTTATTGATTGAGCTGTTTTTTGTTTTTTTTTAGCCTCTCAGATCCTAAGCCTCATTGTCCCTCAGCAAGTTCTCACCCCTTTACAGCAGCTGGAGCGGCCAACACGCACAAGACAAGCTTCAGAATCGGTGAGTGTAAAAGAATAAATTGCATTGCTGTTAGTGCATTAGCTAAACAATATAACACTTGTGTGGTAGGGTTGAGAAGCAGCTTGACTTAACTTTGATACAATTCAAGCTCCTGTGTGCGCAATCTGGCCTCCAAAGAGTTCCACAGTGACTGATCTTAATACTAATATAGGTGCACTTTAAGGTGTAAACACTTCAGCACTTGTACTAACTTAACTTCAAGGCTTGTGGATCACATAGTAACTGGATTTGGGACTTGTTTAGACTGTCATACAGGAAGCTTTAGTTGAATTTTAAGGCATTGTCATAGGATGTAATGTGATTTTTGTAAGAAGTAATTATTAATACCTGAAGGTGTTACACTTACACATTACCTAGGTCAGCTTTAACTATCTTGTCATCTATGGGCCGAAAATGTTATTTCTAATACTGCATTGTGCCTTGCTTTTTACAGTCGGATTCCCATCATTCCTCTTACTCTTCTCAGACTCAACAGTTCCAGCAGAACTCCATAAACCAGTCTCAGGCCCAGCAGATAAAACTACAGCAAGCGTCTCAAGCACCAAATGCTCATCAGGTTCAGCGACCAATGTTTAACTTCCCACACTCTCCTCCTACTCACTTCTCTCCTCTGCACAGTCTTGGGCTTCTTCCTTTGCCTCCTCAGATCCCCATTCACAACAACTCCTGGCCTATGCGTGGCCAGATCATCCGCTCTTCTGGGAACCCCCCTCACTCTAGCGGTGTCACCTTCCCAACACGATCTGGCAGCGGCAATACTTCAACCACCAATCAGAGTGCTGTTAGTCTGAATGATCCCAGCATCATCTTTGCCCAGCCTGCTGCCAGGTCTGTGGGTGTTCCCACATCTAGTCACGATGGACACTGGCACAATTCCCAAACCCCCACTTCACTGGTGAGCAATGGAAACGTGGGCAGCACAGGTAAATAAATCTCCACTGTACAAAAGATGAGCGTGTGTGTCATGAGTGAGAGAGTTGTTAATTTATAGACCGGATGCAAGTACCTACAGCTGGATAAAGGGTCCAGAGTTATACCTTGTGGAAGAAAGTGTTTTTGTCTTTCTTCTTTTAGCTTAAAGCCAGTCGAAGCCACAGATATAGTTACTAGGTTATACATTGTACGAACAGCCTCTTTTATTATAGTTTGTCTTCTATTTTTCATAGTGTGTGGAAATATGACTGTGCAGTCCAACAGACCCCAGAGTCAGACTGCTGTGCCCAGTGGACTGCACATTGTAACAGACCTGGCCTTTTCTCTGCCTCTGCACTACTGTGGAGGACACTTGTGATGAGTGGTCATTACCAATCTATGCCACCATAGGGCATTCAAAGTGAGAGAACATTTTCATTAATATGACACTAAGCTCAAGATTTAAAAAAAACATTTTCAAGTATTTTTAATTACAAAAAGTACCTTCTATGGCTCTCAGCCTCTTCCAGATCTCCAAATTTATTTCCTCTTGCAAAAGATGATCTGACGAGGTAGGCTACGGTTTTTAGAGGGTGGCTACGTTTGTGGCTACGTTTGTACTTCATAGTCCCACTGTATGTGGGAATGTAGCTACCCTCTCTTGCTCGCATCTGAAATGAACAAGCTTACATGCAGATACACTCGGCGCCGCCACGTATGCTCACCTCAGTTCTCCCCTTAGCTTAATCACTGCCTATATATCTCCGGCCACAGGCTCTTTACTGGAGCGGGACTCAGAAACAGTACATGAGTGTAGTGGGAGGAACCAGTATTAGTGAATCTTAATCCTGGGCAGTAAGGTAGGAAGGGGCTATGAACTATGGGATTTGTAGAATGCAAAGAGCAGTGTACGTGACCATAACTTATGCGCACTGCTCATTCAAAAGACAGATATGAGTAGGAAAGGGGGACGTTTGGGAGCACGCAGAGGATGTTAGAAAGAAGCAAAAAACTTTGCAAGCAGTGGTATTATTAAAAATACATTTCAGCGCCGCTATGTAGATGATGGGTATGGGTGAATGTTTGAGAAGAGTCATATCATTTATTGTCACTTCAAGAGAAAAAGGCATTTGAAAGCATTTCCAGACAAAAACCCATTAAGGCATAAGAACACAATGCAGGACTATAAAGCAAATAAAAGGTGTCAGACTTCAATTGGGCTTTGATATTTTCAGGAATTGAATTTTAAAAATTAAAACTATTTCATTTAGGTAAATATTAAATATTGCATATGGATATTACATATTTACCACTAGCAGCCAGCAGGTAATGCAGTTGAGTTAGCCCTCCGCCATCTTTTCAGTATCATTTTAGTACTGTTGTGATAATAGGTTGTAATATGATTGAGGTTCTTAGTTAAAGAAAATGCTAGTTGCCTGGGTGTCTCTGGCCTGAATACTTTGAGTCAAAGAACAAGCCTGCAGCTAGCAGTGAAGTCAGCAGGAAAGTCAGATCTCCTGATTGACTAAGGATTCATCAAAGCCTTTGGATCAGCATAACAGCCAAGCAGCTAGCATTTTTGAAAGGCAGCAGCAGTCTAAAAAGTTTTCTTTTAGAGTAAATCTGAGTTTCCAGACTCAGGAAGGGCTGCATGTCACATTGGAGGATTAGATTTAGGAAACTTAGGTGAAGAGAAGGAATGTGAGTTTAAAAAGTTACCAAAGAAATGCAACGTTATCCTATGGATTAAGTCAAAAGGGGCCAAATGAATGTCATCTCAATATTAGACGCCACCTGTAACTATTGTTATTTAAGTTTTGGGTTGCATGAGGAAGGATCTGATCATCATTTGCTGTCTGTGACCCTCTCAGTGAAATGAGCTGACTTTCCTTTCTGCAGTGTATTCTCCATATATTCCTATAAAGGATTCAGGCTTTTGTTCTTTAACCACTTCAATTTTAAACAGGTTTTGCATTCCCACATCAGTCTATAGCAATGCAAAATGCACTTGAAGAAGGTCAACGGGTAATGGGTTTTGCATCTCCATATCAGTTTATAGCAATGCAAAATCCACTTGAAGCATGTCAAATGCCAACCGCAAGTCAAATGCACCTGTCAATCATTTTTTTAATGATCTGAAGGTGCCTCAAAGTGAAGCGACAAGCCTTTAGGATGTCATCGATCCTTTATTGGATTCCTCATAGGAATACACCGAGAATGCACTCCAGAACTGAGAACAGCAGGCATCGGGCTGCCATGGCATGAACAAGGATTGGAGAAATATCTGCACACAAGGGCCACCAGCAGCAGTAAAACACTCATAAGGAATCAAACCAGATCAAACCCCAGTTAAAGCTAGAGTGATTTGTAGAATCAAATGACATTTTACTGTTTTATTGCATTTTGCAATAGGAAAATCATTGAAATTCACTAATCTATGCCCAGCTTACAGATGGGGTTTCTAGTCTGCATGCCTAGAGGATTCATATAGCATTTGTGTGGTTTTACTGAGGCCATACTGCTGCTTTTTAAAACATCAGTATGCTTTATAAATGAGTTAGCTCTCCTGCTATCAAGAAGCATTATGCAGAGAACACTCCAGCGGACAAAGCAGCTTCTACACCACAGTCTGCATTTAATGAATGAAGTAAACACCTTGGTGTCCTGTGAATAGCGGTATTCGATATCCCTTATTGATATAAAGAGTTTGCCAACTCTTATGCTGACTATACACAGCCAAGCTTTCAATCATAGAAACAATGACTGAATAGATGGATAATAACTTAGCGTCATCCGAGTCTTATACATACAAAACATCTATATATCCATTGTGGGAGCTGTAGGTTCTCTTGATCCACTTAATTCATTTTACAATGCAAAGTGGTTCAGAATGGCAGAACATAGCTCAGTGGCCAGTGTTCCTGAGAAGAATCAAATATCATTAATCATTCTTGTAGACCATTACAGAGCAATATTAAACATTTTTTAAAATAGGGAAGAATTGCAATTTTTTATAAACAATGACATCAGTGTGACAGTGTATGGGATCATTATGTTTTATGTTTTGTATAAGGAGTTAAACAGCAATCAACAATTGAGAAATTTAAGGCTGGCTGTATGCAAATTTTGGCCGGTTCTTGATTAAAGTGCTGAAATCCTGCGATCAGAAAATCAAAGGTGCCAGGCCAATCAGCTGCAGTCACTGTTTAGGTATTCTGATGGCAGCATACCCGCTGCTGACAGAACATAATAGCCCAGCAGGAGATTTATCCATGCATGCTTTTTAGTGTGGATGGAGGACTCTATTATGTTTTTTTGTTCGGCCTGGAGTGTATGGCCAGCTATTTGTGCCCAAGCAGTACCCTGGAAAAAGTACCTTTTTTGTCTGGAATTTCTCTTGAAGCAAAGCAGTGCGCTTCCTGATATGTGAGGGTGCCCAGGCACTCCCATAACCACAGCCTCATACCTGTACACTGAGTGGCCTGATTATTATGATGAGATCTAAGGCACTGCTGCCTTTGACTGCTAGTCTCAGGAGATTTGGAGTGAGATTTGGTGATGTCACTGCTGTCCTGCTCACTGTTTTTCTTGCTGAAGTCTCTGATGTGAGGTAGCAAAAGTCCAACCTCTACCAAGGCACAATAAAGAAGTCATTCAAATTCAGTAATTGATAAAGATCAGCTGCAAGGAGACCACGGGCAATAATGGTGACGAGTCCTTTACAATCTGCCTGCACAGTTTTTAGAGTTCTGTTCCCGTTTTATTGTCATATTTGTATTGTGTTACTTTGTACTATATATTATAATTTCTCATTTTGTATTCTTACTCCTCAGCAGAGCAGGGATTTCAAGGCCAGTTTGCGAAACCTCATCCCTGGGAGCGTGGCGCTCCCTCTCACTACCCTCTTATTCCTGGATCATGGCCTTACAACTTACCCCAGAACTTCCTGCAGCAGGCACCGACTGGCTTTCATTCCAAGGCCTACTTTCCTCCAGGTAATGCCAAAATATTTTATGTTTTATTTCGATTTTTACCTAAGTGTACATTTGTAAATGATATTTGTGATCAGAGTCTGCTTACCTGCATTCGGGAATAGCCTTCCACGGGTTGGTACCACCGGCGCCCGAAATCTGGCTCCTAGACGCTTCGACCACTTGTCCCTGGGAACGAAAGATACACTCACAACATACTGCCCTGATGTGTGCCATGGTCTGGTTGGACAGTATGCCAAATAAGGGGGCATACTCCGAGTATGTATAGCTGAAAAAAGGGAAGGGTGGGTGGGTTACACGGTAGACTGCTCGTGTGTAGAGGAGCCTGGATGGCCGGTTTAAGAAGGCTGTGGGAACGCAGACTCCTCCCACAAATCCAGGCTTAACTGGTTAGCCTTAAAACTTATTTTCTTACTGTAGCTATAAAACCTTTGCTTTGAAAATGAACATTTAATACAGGGCATTCCCTGACACAGGATTCACAGATCATTATTTGGTTTTTATAAGGGGAAGGCGCAGCCAAAGCTGTTTACTGTCAGCCTCTCTGTCTTTGACTGAAACTTCCTATGCAGCCCTCAGAAGAGCCAGGCCAGGAGGGGGGAAATGTTACTGCTCTGACTCTGTCACTTGTGGTTTGGCATGGTTTAATTTGTTTCAGCTTGAGCTACTGAGCTCTGTAAACTAACCAGCAAACTGGATAAGAAAAGACAGGGAACATGAAAATCACTGCTGGCTGTAAGTGATAACTCTGACTATTCCTGTACAATGTTTTTATTTGTACCTGCCAAAAATGATTCAGCATATCTGGGGGAGGGGGTGGATGGGGGTGCGTCCCAACAACTGCCTGACCCACATCTCAGGCAAACTGGCATCAATCTACACATATGATGTTTCCTATTCCTTTTTACCCCCACGTCACAAACATAGTAAGTGAGGGCCCAATATGACATATACATACACCAATAAAAAAACAGAAAGAGGTTCTAATTTTCCATGTACTATCCAAAGCAAAGGACTAAAGGTAGGCAACCTTGGCATTCCAGCTGCGGTAAAACTACAAATACAATCATGCTTCCAACTCTGGAAATCATGCCTGTGGCTGTCAGTCTTGTAATACCTCATGGGACTTGTAGTTCCTCAACAGCGGGAGTGCTGAGGTTGCCTACCCCTGTTTTAGACAATGTAAGAACAGTAATCAGTCCTCTGGGGGGGACAGTGAAGGAAAAGAAGTATTGACCTCCTCTTGTTTTATTTTCCAGCTGGCTCATTGATTCAGAATGGACCGCAGTTCCCAGTCTTATCACAGGGGCACCCGCACCTAAACTCCAGCTACATCCAGCAAAAGAAATGACAAGAAGACGGCAACTTTTCCCCCATGATATTTTGGATTTTATTAAATAAAACCTTCCCCCTGCCTAGACCAGAGATCATCACTGGCCTCTTGGGGAATGAGAACTTTTAATATGTATTATTTGTAAATACATCGGCTTTAGTTTTACTGAAATCATTCCTTTGAGTGATGCTAATTTCTTTTATTTCATTGCCCCATTTTGAGGGGAGCTTTATGTTCTATTATGGGAAAATATTAAACAAAAAGAGAGCTTTTTTTTTTTAATTGAAATTAATTTCCTTATTTTCTCTGTTCATAAATGGGCTGCTTTGAGCTCTCTATAAATGTATATATTTTAGTTACCAAAATAGAATTTTAAAGAAAAAAAAAAAAAAAAAGAATGTAATTTTTTAAAGGGTAAGTCTTTTATTATTTGGGTCTGATGCAGGTGCCAAACAAATCTTTTAAACCCGAAGTCTTGTCTTATTTTTGGTACCAACAAAAAGGCCATTTTATCAAATTCTTTGTCCCATCAATAGTAAAGAATTTTTTTTTATTATTAAAAAAAAAATCTGAGCTGTCAGTTTTAATTATTTCATAAATTGGTTTCTTCATTTGTAATAAAATTGAGAATACCGTTAAACTGGGCAGTGTTTTGTCAAATTGTTTTATCTTGATTATGTTCAATTTTATATGTTCATAATTATTTGGGGCCAGTAAATAAACACTTTAATGACCAGCTCTAGGCAACATTTTTGTAAAAGTAGCTCCATGCATCTACGTGACATCAGACAAATCTGGGAATATAGCAATTGTATTATGGCTGTGGACTCGTTCACACTGCGTGCGGGGACCTGTGGTTTTCTCTGCTTAAAAAAGCATATCCCTGCAGAGTTACAGAGAAAACAATTGTTTTCTATGTGCTAGGTTCCCACCAGAATGAAGTTAAGAAGTGCGAAATGTCTGGATTTGTTTTACACCACACCAGAGCTGATTGAAATAATTCATCCATCAGTACTTTTCTTATGCATCGCAGTGGAGCTGCCAAGCAGAGCCTGTCCTCTGCTTGGTCTTTGGAGTACTGTAAACTGGACCTTGCTGGATTGGACGCTGCAGGGCTAGCACGAAAGTAAACGTCAGGTGCTGGGTTCTGCAGAGGGCACCTTCTTGCTGTTCAGTGTTGAAGAATCATCTGCCTGCATGTGGACCTCAGATATTCAGTCCTTTCCTACGTCCCACTTACAGTGACTTTGGTCATCTTTGGCCAGCCAAAAATGTTGGGTTTTGTCAGTATCTGAGGCCTCTCCTCGTACCGTCAGCTTAGTTGTTTACCGCCATATGGTTACAACTGCAATGGGTTACCCCATCTCACACTCCCCTTTTTTGGGGATGTTGGTTTTGTGCCTTCTGAAGACAATGACATCTGAAATCCTGTCACCCTACGATTATAGGGTATACCTCATCAGAGTCCCCTGCCTTATAGATAGTGGTCTCTATTAGTCACATGGTGTTCACCCAGTTCCTCTCTGGTCCTGAATCCAGAGGCTAAGCCTGCTCCCGTGCCCTACCATATCTATTGCTGATCTGCCCGCAGCCTCAGGGGCAGCCAAGTCATCAGTCACTGGGTCACCTCAGTCTCTTCATGATGACACTATCTTTGAGGAATCTGACTTCTGCTATTACTCCAGATTTAAAAGAGACCATGTGATCGGACGATGTTACTACCTGCTGTCCTTACAGCACGGCTCACTATTATCTTCTGTCTCTATACTCCTCAGATGAAGGCATTTCGTTCTCAGAAACCCACTGTTATCCCTGTAAATGGATCCTAAGGACGTCACGCCTCATAGATTCGTATGTGTTCTTCCTTTTTTTTTTTTTGCCTTGCATAAACTGCCATGTTATGTTTTATTCTACTTATTCTTAGCAGTGAAAACCATTAGGCTGGTAGATGGCAAGTTTACATTCAAGGGTTTTTCTGACCAGAATCCTTCTTTAAAACCCAATTCCTGATGGTAGCCCTGTCCTTCACACTAGATGTGTTCTAGATCCTGTGTTGCAGGTAGCAGACATCAGAGGGGAACTCATGATACCCTGCACAAGCTAGTTACTTGAGACTGGAACCCTCTGGCAGTAGCAGAGAATGCTTTAATGACTCCATGGGATCTGCATACCCAGGTCTAGGTCTTTCCATCTTGTTTGCTTCACAGATTTGTATAGAAGTCCTTTCTGGTAATATTCCTTTGGCAGAATATTGCAAACAATTTTTTACTTAAGACTTTGCTGCAGGTGGGTGAATGTGGAGCTTGGTCTTTGGTTCCTGTCAGTACACATTCATTCTGTATATTACATTTCTAAATTTTGGTTTGAAGATCTACTTTCTACTGCCTAAAGCTGACCATACACCTATAGATTATCTGCATATTTTCTATGGTCAGATGGGAAAAGTGTAACAGATTCCTCCATCTACGCTAAACTGTGTGGATGGAGGAATCTCCCACTGGGCCAAGCTTCAGTATCTTGCTAGTCGGCCCCGCTGGCTGTCAAAATACCTGAACAATCTGATTGAATGCAGGCATTGTTCAGGTAGTTTGACAGCCAGTGGGGCAGACTAGCAAGATACTGAAGCTTGGCCCAGTGGGAGATTCCTCCATCCAGTTTGGCGTAGATGGAGTAATCTGTTGCACTTTTTCCATCTGACCATAGACTGATAGAAAGAAAAAAGAAAGATCTATAGGTGGATGGGAGGTTCCTATGTACCTGTTACCCTATTTGGTCATGCTGACTGTGGGATTCAATCTTGGTTATTTCGGTGTGTTTAGGAACCACCTTTACACTCCTTGCAGATACTTCTGTGCAAAGTCATCCTCAGGGTTCTTCCCTGGTAGCCATTGCCTTTATGAGATGACCATCTGCCCTGATAAGTCATTCCTTGCATGGCCTACGATAAACCTCCTATTGACTCCAAGAAAAGGCTTTTACGGCATGTAGAACAATCCTATATTACAGCTTACCAGTTTTTTTTTTATTCTTTCTCAGATTCATCTGTCCAAGTTCTTAGGGAGAAATGCTCCTTTCTCTTTGCTGGTCACAGTTCAAGCTGCGAGTTCTATCCCTGTAATGAAATAGTTTTTTGTTCCATCCTTCTGGTTGAATCGAGTAGACCAATTTCCATGCCTATAATATACAGTTCAGTGCTCTCTCTCATGTCTAGACATTCCTCACTAGTTAAAAGTATTTTTCTTGTTTTTCTGGCATAGTTCCCCTTGCTTACGTACCACCCTCTCTCTGTTAGCTGTTGCCCACCCTACAGTTGGAATGCTTTTGGATGTCCCAGAGGTGTTAGACTTCATTTGTCCCTTAATGGACAATAAAGTAGGATTTTTTTGTACCTTTTCTTGAAATCGATTGAGAGATACAGGTCCCACCCTGTTTTACAATCATGCTCAGTACTGCTTGCTATGGTAGCGATGCAAGGTTTTACCTGGACTGGCCTACAATTTTTTTTTTGCTAGTGTTCAATCCTGTAGGCAGCAGTATAACATGAAAGGTGATAAACCTATTGACTCCAAGAAAAGGCTTTTACGGCATGTAGAACAATCCTATATTACAGCTTCAGTTTTTTTTTTAATTTAGTTGCTGTATTTGTTTCCCTTTTCTATCTATCCATATCTATATAGACCTATATAGATATAAAAAAAAAAAAATTCTCAATGATCTTAATAGTAACACTTCCCGTCACTGTATTATATGTATGAAGGAGCAACACCTTATCCTCTCCTCATCTCCATTACATAGGAAGAAGGGTATCTTGGAAAAAGCGAATAAAATTGTTTGCAATTCAGACCACAGGAATGTATATAGATCTATTGCAGTGTTCATTTCATCTACGAACATCTTGAGGGGGGTTTTTGGCCGTTTTCCAGTGACAAAAACGAAATTAAAGAGTAGTTATTGGGCCAAAAACGATTTTCATGTTACTCAATTTTTTCGTAAACGAATTCAATGAGAATCGTCATTATTGAATATTTGCAGTGCTGCCGTCACTGCTCTGCACATCCGTTCTCCTCCCCGTTGGCTGCAGTGCCCTGTGTCCCTTTCAATCCCCCCCTGTAGAGGCAGTGGGGACACAGACAGCTGCCGCTGGCCGGGGAGGAGTGACCACTGTGCCTCTGCATTCCCCCACTGTCCTCTGTACATGCGTTGCCGCCCCATGTCTCCTCTTCCTCAGCTCCACCTCTGCATCTATAGGCTGGGAGCCATACCCAGCCTGCTATTGTATGTTTTAAAATGCAATAGCAGGCTGGCTACTGCACCTGTCCACTGCTTGCTGTCAATCAGCAGAGGAGGACCTGAGAACTTTCTCCTTCAGTGTCCTCCTCTGCTGATTGACAGCAGGCGGGTGCAATAGCCAGCCTGCTATTGCTCCCAGCCACTGCCTGCTGTTTTGACATTCAGCTGCCTCAGCAGCTGATTCCAGTGAAGGGGACACTAGGGCATCCAAAAGACCCGTCATCTTAAAGAGAACCTGCCACCACCAATGTGCCATCACATAAGGGAGCTTGTGAGCCCACTCCCCCATGCGATAGCAATGAAGTAAAAAAATAAAATGAAAACAAAAAGTTAAATTAAAAAATTACTCCAGTGATATATAATAAATGTTTGGAAATGCTAGAGAATTGCTTAAATAATGCATTACACTAAAAATAAACCCATTAGATTTTAGTCGAATAAAAGCGACTTGAATTTCATTGGCCAAAATAAAAAATTAATTTGACTAAAATTAAAAAAAAAATTTGTCAAAAGACTAAGACAAAAATGAAATTTGGTGCCAAAATTAAGACCGATATGCTGGATTGCTATCCGGATCAACAGGTATTTTTCTGTACTTGCAGAAAATACTTTGCTTTAAAAAAGAAAACTAATGCACATTCCACATCTAAGGACTAGTAAGATTTAATATACTTGAACCTAAATAAATATTCCATTACTGCATCAATCTTCCAACAGCACAAGTAGTTTATTAGTTTTATTACAAATTTCTTATAAAGTTGATGACTAAAAGGAGGAAGTCATACGGTGCATCAAATAACAGATGAAAGGATTGCGTGTTTATATACAAAAAAATCCTGAATACATAATGAGCATTAACAATGGTCTCTGGTCATTCATTGCCACGTCTGCTCTTTTTATGACTCTTCTTTGACCTGGGGGGGGGACAAAAAACAATTAAATGGCTTTCCTAAAAATCAGATAAAAACACATTTTACACAAAGCAGCTTTTCCTATTAAATGAGCTGATATATCAGTCAATGTCAAGAGCAGTTACCTCTCTGGAGACTTAGAATGGCTCCTGTGTCTGTGGCTTCTGTGGTGAGCTGTTGATATAAATGTAGATCATCAGTATAGATTTCTAACCAGTCACACATCCACTATACATTGAGAACTGAGGTATCACATACCACTGATCACTCACCTGATGGGATCTCCCTCTAGAGTCTGTCAGTCCCCGCTCCCTGTAGGGATTACCCCCCCTCTGTTCCTCCAGCTCTGACTGGAGGAACAGACAGGAGGAGGCAGGCACAGCCTCCTCCCCGTTCTGGTGACATGATCTTCCAATAAACAAACACTTTGGAGTTTAACACTATTGGTGTGCTGGTGACAGTTTATTTTGTACTGTTTGGCTGCAGCGCAGCTCTGCTGTGTCAGCATATAGTGGGCAATAGCGCGCTATATGCCGAGTTTTGGGTCACAGGAGGACATAAGTAAAAGTCCTGTGACCCTAAAGAGAACTACAGTCAAAAAATGTTTGGCCGTAGGTCCCTTTGAAAATCACCATATGAGTGCCATACATTCATTATCCATGGGCTTTGTACTGCTTTGTTTTAAAGATAGATTTATGATTTATATGCAACCTGTAAGCAGTACAAAGAATTACCTAAGGAACTTTCTAATGCTCGGTTTCTCCTCTCTTCCCCCCTCCTGCACTAAGCACAGGCTCCAGGGAACAATTATGCAATAGAAAAAAAAAAGTTACCTGGAGATTTAGATTTGGATCTGTGACGTTCCCGTCGTTCCCTTGATCTGCTCCGGTGTCTCCTTGGACTTTTGCTCCTATGTCTTTCCCGGCGCGGGGGCGAGGGACTGTAAATACAAAGCAAAATAAAGAACGTGGTTGTTTTTGCCATAATTTTTTTATGTCAGAGTGGAACTTCAGGAAAATATTTAAAAAGAGTTCTTTAACTCGGTTTTTTACTACGGCCGGCCCGGAGGTAGTTAAATCAGTTATACAGATTTTTTGTAATGAATACATCATTTAAATACAAATAAGTACCTGAATGTGGCTTGATATCAGCCTCCTGTAGTCCCTGTACAGGAGCACACAGGACTACGAGCTAGTGACAGCAAATGTAGTTTGTACAGTGTCAGCCCAACACTGATCATGCTAATGAGGGGTAGGAAAAGTATAGAGACGACATCATCACGCGGCTGTTCCTTCAATGTCTAATGACAGGCTGCGAGAGGAGAGATGACCAAGGAAGTAGAACTCCAGCAGCCATTTTCTCCCACAGACACGCAAGTATACAACTACGATTTTGTATGGTGGGTGTTGAACAGGGCACACGGGGGTGTGCTTGAAGTCTCCCCATGTAGTCCAGTAAAATCATTCCTGGAGCACTTCACATGAGGTGTAAACTGTATTGTAGGTGCTAGAGAGTATGCAAGACTTTGAACATCCATTGAGCATGCCATTCATTTACAGGCCTGCTGACGTAAACACATCAATACGCCAAAGCCCTTTCTTTTTTTGGAGACGGTTATTTTATAGAATTCACTTAATGCAGTCAATAATTTTTCATATACTCACCTCCTTCTCTTGGGTGAGCGGCTACGCCTGAAATAAAGAAATTATTCCGTGAGTAATCGAGCCAAATATTAAACGTTACAATGATAAGTACATCACAGAAGCTCTTATTGCAGAATGTAAAGCTGGTAAGGGAATTGCATTGAATGTTCCATGCAGCACAGTCCAGAGTTTCAATATTTTAGAATACAGGAAAATACTGTGAATGATGGCGTGAATGCAGAAGGTGTTTAGTTAGCTATACAGAGTTTTTTTTATTTTTTTATTATTGAACTGGTTTGAAATTTTTGGAACAAACAGCCTTGGGTGCAAGAGTGACCCTTTAAAAAGCGAGCCCCATGCTGTGATCATGTAAGGCCTGCTCCTGCAATAAACTGAAAACTATTTGAAATAAAAGAATTTTGCTCCCTGTGGTTAAGGAGCAGGTAATGCCTATTATTTTTTAGGCTTTTCTACTAGTGCGTGTTCCATGGTCTCTTATAGCAGCGGTCACCAACCAGTGGTCCACGGACCACAAGAAGATTTTGGTGGTGCCCGGGCCCCTCCAATACCGTGCAGGCTGGGCCGTCATTGAAGCGGCACGGAGGCTGCGGGGCTATACACACAAAATATGAGAATATTATACATATAAAAAATTAGTGGTCCGCAGGATTTCAAATTATGAATTTAGTGGTCCATGAAGTCCGAGGGCCAAATGTGTCCCCTTGGGGGAGACACTCATTTCCTGTAATGAAAACTCTTCCGGTGACAACGCTAATGGTTACGTTTCCCCCCCATTTCCAGTACTGAGGCAGTGGTCACATAGAAACATGAAAGAGTGACAGCAGAGAGAGCAAATGGTCAGCCTGCTTTTTTTCCCCCCACGATTGTCCCCAGCATGTATGAACTGATATACTAGTCCTAGTTTGAGGTTATGTCCCCTTGTTCCTGATCTTAGCTTTATATTGAAAACATTGTCCTCCTGAGCATTCACACCATTAAAGTTTAACTCCAGTATCCTTATTCCATCTACCCCTAGCATTTAACCCTTGCGGTGTGTGTGGCAGTGCCACTGCTTTATTTTTTTTTCTGCCAGGAGTGTGGCTTTAAAAGCTGAACTCCAGAAAGATAATTGTTTTTCTTTATTATGCAGAACACTGACAAGAGTTGTAAGCTTCCAAAGCTTAGACTTGACATTTCCAGTGAGAGTACTTTTATTAAAAAAAAAAAGTGTCACTCCCCCCTTCCTCTCTCCTCAGCCATTTACAACCCTTGTATTTTAGTGCATGGACACTGTCTATGCACTTAATGCAATTCATTCTGTGATTCACAAGCAAAGATTTACTATGTTATAGAGAAGATCTAGAAACGTTAATTGTCCCTAGCAGTACCCTGAAGAAATCTACCTTTTGTGGGGTGAGATTTGGTGATATCACTACCATGCTTCTCCTTACTGAAGACATGAGGAAGCAAATACCTGCCTCCATCAAGATGGCCTTCAGACATTGCAGAACAGAATGCCGGTAATAGGGAAATGATCAGCTGCAGGGAGAGGACAGGTTGTACTAGCCCTTTGCCCTCTGTCCATACTTTATAGGCACAGCTTCCGCTACCGTCTTCCTACCTTCTAGGTGAGCGGCTGCGGCTCCGTCGATAGCGAGGTGAAGGTGACCTACGTGGTCTGTCCAAATCACGGTAACTCCGTCTGTGATGCTCTGGAGAGGGGTCTCTGCCCTGTGACACATAATGAATAAATATCAATACAAGTCAGGCTTGGGGTATGACATTCACAAATGAATCAAAATTATGGATGGATTATAACGCTACGGAGATCATATATTAACCTTATCGTCCTCGTCATCCTCTTCTTCACTAGATTCTACGTCATCCATGTCTTCCTCCAGAGCGCTGACACGAGGGTCCAACTGTTCAGTCTCTTCAAGCACATAGCGTTTCTACCATTTATAAAATCACAAAGACATCCAATTAGGAAGGGGGGAGGGCGCAGGCAGCTCTCCCATAAAAAGGTGCACAGATTACATACATTATAGAAATATAAACTTTTTGTTGGTAAAGCCGGGTTTCCCTAGAATGCATCGCTAAGGCTACAGTCACACTTCAATAGGAGCGCTTTGTTTTAGACGCAGTGAATTTATACACTTAGGGATGAATAGGAATGCATAGGAAATGTACCTAAGGAAGGAACATTTTGATGAAAATTGTTGGAAGAGATGCAGCAAGCAGGCTTTATTTTTAAAGCAGAGGTGTGAATGTACCCTGGAGCAGATGGCACTTTTTGAATGGGGGTCTAAAATGTAATAGGACGGAGCTGTCGTCACTTTCCACTTACCGAATATTTGGCAGACTAAACTCTGATCCATTAGAAAGCAGAACCAGGTCTCAACAGCAGGTGATATTGTTCAGGGTGATGTCGCAATAGCAAACATTCTCATCCTTGTTTTTAAAGCTGAACCACAGGCAAACAGCTAAGAACATGGATGAAACACATAACCGCTTTACCTGCCAAAGGATTTGTACTTCTGTCCATTCATTCCTAAGTTTTACACAGCTCTGCTGCACATTATAGCCCTGTCTGACAGGTTGGAAGACACGTTTTCTCTTTGCTACGTGGCAACACTAACAGATTTTGTCCCTTCCGCAGCATGTTGCTGTACAGTGAAAGGAGAAGCAACAGATTGATAAGCTCATCTCTGCAACGCTGATCTCGCCTCTTATCAGCTACCTCCTAGTTAGCACATAAGCACAGGTGATTGGCTGCTTCATCCCCACCAGTCTGACCTCTAGTATTCAGGGATTGCAGGGCAAATTCAGGTATTTAAACTTCCTGCATTTAAAACAAATGAATGTAATAAAATGTTACAGCTGAATTCATTTGGGTATATTAGATTTATCTGTAGTTCTGTGTAAAATCAAACATAACGTTTCATCACAAGAGACAGCTGGGGTTCATAGTAACAGATGTGAGAAAGCACAATCTTACCTGTAACCGAGGTAATATGATATCACAGACACGTTCACTGTGGAGAAGCTGGTCAATGAATTCATCTACATGCATCAATTCAAAGTCTGACAGAGACAAAGATTACAATAATTCATGAATGATTAAAGTTTCACAATGCAGTGATTAGATAACATGCACAAGGCTCTACATATACATCTGCTAAATAAAGACAAAAGGTAGTAGGAAAAAAAACACATACCATCCAAAGTATGCAAACTCAGTACTCCAACTGTGGGGAAACTACTAATCCCAATATCCCTCTCCTTCTAGGAGTCAGCCTATGGCTGTCAGGGGATCTGTAGTTTCACCACAGCTGGAGTGCCAAAGTTGCCCACCCCTGATCTAAAGCCAACCAGGTCACATCACCTGATTGTTAAGAGACAGCTGGGGTTCATAGTAACAGATGTGAGAAAGCACAATCTTACCTGTAACCGAGGTAATATGATATCACAGACACGTTCACTGTGGAGAAGCTGGTCAATGAATTCATCTACATGCATCAATTCAAAGTCTGACAGAGACAAAGATTACAATAATTCATGAATGATTAAAGTTTCACAATGCAGTGATTAGATAACATGCACAAGGCTCTACATATACATCACCTGATTGGCCTCATTCCCATCTCTAAAGATGCTAGGAGGAGGAATCACCGCAGAGGCTCTAGCTGGAAACAATGGGTTACAGGGCAGGGAAAACATCTGCACTGTAACCCATTCAGTGGCCATTGGAAGTGGCAGAACCTTCCCCATTTTACTTTGGTGCCACCAATACAGGCCATCTAAGTCTCAGGCTCTGTTACCCAGACAGGGAACGAGATTTGGCAACTAATATGTCAAGAATGTTACACCATGCAGAGCAATAATGCAAATATACAGCAGGTTATAAAAAGGGGTGAATATTTGTAACAGATTAAGGGCAGGTTCACACCATTTTCAGGACCAGATCTGGTCCAGAGAATGGTGTGAACTTGTCCCCAGTTCAGTGCATTCCGGACCAGACAAAATGAGACGTGCAGTATTTTTCTGGTCTGGAACAGACTGCGCTGGTGTGAACAGAGGCCAGAAATAGCATAGGGATACATTAGGATGCACTTTAGGTCCGGAAACAATCTGGTCTGGAGATGATCTGGATGTGGTGTGAATGGGCCCTAAAGGAGGAAATGTCTTTCCTAATAATCTGCTCTTTGCACCATTATACGATGAGTGCGGGTGCCAGGTCATGCTCCCCAGGGGGCAGGCCCATGACACCTTCCACTTACGATAGGTCTTCTTGGTTGAATGATGCAGAGCGAAAAGGAATTACTGTCGGGGACAGCACCAGAGAGGCTCTGACCACTTACACAGAAGAGATGTCACCCTCCAAGGAAGAAAGTCCAATTAAAGCTGAACTCTGGGCTATTTTCTTTTTTCTTAAAGAAGAACTCTGGGCAAAACTTATTAACCCTTGCAGTGGAGCTACCACCACACTGCAAGGGTTAACTGCTCATTTTCGTTCAGGTGCTACATACAAAAAAAGTTATAAAACTTTGTTATAATACACCTCTATGAATATTCCCTCAGCTGCTTACTGAGACTGATTGAGCGCCCAGTGCCTCCCAAGAAACAAAAATGTATCTGATGCAAATGTGTAGGTTTGTAGAGAGATCTCCCTTGTATCCTCTCATCCACTTCCTCAGTTGGTGTAAAAGGTATTTGAAACAATCACTGCAGGTAATTAACACACTCCGCCCCCATCCTACACAAATTACCTCCATTCCTGTTCTGAACTTTGATTCTCCGATAATCGTTATAGAGGGGCTCAAGGTATTTGTAGCAGTCAGTCGCAGTCCCTGTGAGCCGCATGTACAGAGCACCCAGTCCACGGACATACCTGCCAAAAAGAATGAGAGGAGTTCATGAATGTAACATGTGCAGGCTTCTTCAGTAAGGAAAGGCAAAGTACAGAAATCCACAAGAAGCAGGAATCTGACATCAGTGCCCAGCAGCCCACATGGCAACAAACCAGACATTGTGTTCTATGGATTTTAGCACATTGGACAATTTTTTTTTCACATATATGAGCCAACCTTGTGTAAGACTTTCAGTACATCATTTTTCTTTTGAGAGCGGTCTGTATACAACTTATACATTTAAAAACCACTACACTGGGGTTTAAAAACAATGTGAGGGCTAAAGGGACCTGTATGTCCTCTCATGAAGGCCTGTGTGCGTGGCTGCTGCAGCCTCTGGTCCCGCTGCCAAACAGTGGAGAGCCACAGCTTTAGACACAGAGCCGATCAGACCGGCTGTGTCCTGCAATTGGTTATCACAGCGATCATATGGCAATGTTAACATTACCTTCTCTTCCATCAAATGCAGGGGAGAGTAAAGTGATGAATACGCCGATAAGTCATCCATTTATTATTTCTCAGTAAACACAAGTTGCAGTAACAGCAAATAAATAAAAAAAAAAGTGTCAAATTATTGTACACCCCCCTTTCCCCTGCTTGTAAGATCCATTCTCTCTCTGCTCTGACCTGTTCGTAACCCCTTCACCTCCCTTGTCCTGCACATCTAAATATTAACCCCTTCATCTCCATCCTCCAATAGTAAATTAACCCCTTCACCCCCTATGACCTGTAAATTAACCCCTTAACCCCCACTATGACCTGTAGATTAACCCCTTAACCCCCTCCTGCCTCTGTCTATGACCTGTACATTTATTGTAACTTGTGCACTATTACCAAGCTGTGTTAACTCCCTCAATACCAGCATGTTTCGCCAAACTTGCACAGCGCTGAACAATGAAAAATGGCCTGGTGATGAAAGAAGTGCAACATGCCGATACTGATGTGGTTAAATCATTTTCTTGGCCATGTCACACCTGGAGGTAATTTATTTTTTTTAATATTGAAGGTCACCGAATAAAATTGTAGGTGCCAATTTAAAAAAAATTGAAGCAGAGGCCAAAAAATAATGTCATCCAAATCAAGCAGTTTTTAGCATTTACTCTATAGAGCGGCTTGGGAAAATAAAGCATGTAACCTAAACGCTAGTAATGTCCACCTTTGTGCTAGTATTTATAACCCACCACTTTGACCTTGCTATGTAATGCCGCTATTATACATATGTGCAATAATAGTCCCTGCAGTAATGCAAGTCTGTACTTTGCTTGCCAGAAAAAAACCATGACGTGCATTTGTTTTATCACAAAATATACAGAATAAGCTTTAAGAATGTTGACTCACTTGAAGTCTTCGTTCTTTATAAACTCCACAATGATGTCTTTCTCTGGCTGAATCTGCAGCATTTTCAGTGCCAGACACATAAATGGAGTGGGTTTGATGTTCCCACCATAAACTCCCCCAATGAACTTCAACTCCATGGCCTTATCGACCACCAGCTCCGCTGTAAGGAAATAGCAGACAGAAGTCAAACCATGAACAAGGCTTAATGCATTATTGTCATTCAGATATATACAGTGTTGTACTAAGAGTCACCGCAGTCTCTGCACTGCAGGGCTTGCAATCTAATCTCTGTACAACATCCACACACACATGGAACATACAAAGTATATTGAACATGAAGGGCTGCACACCTAGCATGCATTGCCATGCAGCGTATGATCAGATGCAGTAAACACAAAGCTGAAAATGAATGGCCAATACAACCCATGAAGGGGCCCTGCAAAGGAAAGAATACTGAGGGGAAGTATTGGCGCTGCCATTGCTGATCTCATTTTGAAAACACCAGCAGCCTGGCTGTTCCTGGCAATCCACTGAAAAGAATCAGCATTCAGACCGGGAATGTCATAGCTGATCCACAAACTTCGCCCAGGTCAGGGCCTCAGACTGCATTGGTGGCATTGTACCAGCAAGACAGGCAAGTGGCATTTACAGGAGAAAACAACAATGGCTGCCTACCTATAGTGTCGCCGCTTCTACTTACCAGTGAGGCCGAAGCACTCCTCCTTCCAGTACTTGGACTCATAGATGCGGGTACGGATGATTTTCTCCACAAGGTACTGCGGGTTGGTGCCATGAACGCTGTGAGCGTCTTTCACTGTGCGGTTCGCCATCTTCTACGGGGCCGCCTTCCGGCGCGTGGCGCGTGACGTCATCAATCAGCGCTTAGACCGCTTCCGGGTTCATCACGTGACGTTTGCATTGGTGGCGGGAAAATTCAGCCTGCAGTGAGCTGGCGGAGGAGGAGAGTGCTGGGGGCAGAGCTGACATCTGTAAGGTCTGTATTCAGGAAGATGTTCCTTCTCTCTTTGTACTGTATACAGGAGGGGGTGTCACCGAGCAACACAGGTCCCAGCATGCCTCGGTGTCTGCTATGGCATGCATTGGGTTCAACTTCTGGGCTGGGACTCCATGAGTAAAAGGTTTGCTGGAGCCATACTTGCCGGTGATCCATGATTTATTTTCCAAGGACAGTGCTGGAATGTCAGTAATTCTTCCAAGATTTACTGCTGAACAACTGCAAATGTCACCATACATGTTACAATCTAACTTTAGAGTTACCAAAGTTTTGTACTATTAGGACCTCCTCATCTATCAAATTGATTTGCAGCCAGGCCTTTGCACTATATACGTGTTGATGGATCTAAAGGAGGTTGTACAATCAGACTGTAATGTATGTGTGGGGTCAGCTTTTAAATTAAAGAGAAAACACAGAGCCTGTCATGAATGACATCCCCTCCAGCTGTCATGCTTATCCTCTTTCTTCAATACTTTACAACTCTCACAGATCTGGGTACTCTGAGAAGTACTCTGGGTCAGGAGTTTGCTAAGTGCTTAAGCCAGAAGCAGATCATGACAGCCCGGTATCTTGTATTTTTAATAAGTGTGTTACTGGCACGATCACCAGGTGGAAAAAAAATCAAACAGAACTCGGAAAATGAAAACCTAATACACCTGCCACATGTAAGACCTGGCAAGTTGCAATATATCACATTTGTTTTTGGGTCTTAAATATGCTTTTAGGCAGGAGCCTGACGCTGTACCTGTGATCATGCTTTTGCTGTCTCGCATGAAAACAAAAAAAATGCACAGTTTTGTTTTCTTTTTGCAATTTGGGTGCTTGTATTTTTTGGAAAAAAAGTGGAATATGCCTTAAAATGTAGGTCAGCTGTGCGATCCACAGCACTGAGAAAGCCAGTAGCTAGCTGGGCATAATATCCACTCGCAGATCCATTTTCCTTGACTAATTAAATTTTTCTTCTGTACAGAAATCATGACAAAGTATTTTACCCGCGTTAGAAGGCGGCGTGTGTACAGCTGGCACGGGAGACCTGTGATAAAGGACAGGAAACAGCTACACCTTCAATATGGGTACATGGATTTTATTTTTTCATTACAATCTCTTTCTTATTACTTATCATTATGAGGCGAGTGATTTTCACTCATCATTGTGTGCCTGTGTACATCGCCTTCAATATTTCATGGTGACTGACAGCACAGCTTACTCAAACAAAAGACTAGGCAATACTCTTTATGCGGTTTCAGTCCAATTTTTTTAAATTCTTCCATTTGCAACTGACTAGAGCAGGGGTAAGCAACCATGGCACTCCATCCATGGTTGAACTATTTATCCCATCATACCTCTGCTTCTGGGAGTCATGTCTGTGGACGTTAGAGTGTTGTAATGCCTTAAGCTGGCCATACACCTAGAGATTATCTGCAGACTGTCTCTGGTCCGATGGGAAAAGTGCAACAGATTCCGCCATCTACGCTAAACTGTGTCCATGGAGGAATCTCCCGCTGGGCCAAGCTTCAGTATCATGCTATAGTCACTATGTCACGCTGATGAAGGGACCCTGCGTGGCCCCGAAACATTGGTTTTTGCATGTGACGCACCTCTTCAATTAAATACAAAAGAATTTATAAGTATTCATCGAGTGCTGATGATCTTCATTTGTATCAAGAATTAGTATCTTGCTAGTCAGCCCCGCTGGCTGTCAAAATACCTGAACAATCTGATTGAATGCAGGCATTGTTCAGGTGTTTTGAGAGCCAGTGGGGCCGC